AGAAGAGTGGGCTTGCTTTTTGTGGTGATGTGAGCATTAAGTCTGCTTAGCAGCAAACTTTTGAGGCGTTGCAGGCATGGTCAAGATGAATAAGAAAGCCTGAAGAAGTTCCCTTCAATGTGGATTAATTGTGCATTATGATCTCTATGCCCACACTTAACTCCACTGCCAGTACCCTGTGATACTGTTTGTAATTTTTGCTAATAAATGCCTTGAGCTTTGATATGATACAATAAGGTACAACTCCAAGTCACAAAAGACCACCAAAGCACGTTCAGAGAGATAACGTTTTAAGGAGTTAAGGCAAAGAAGCAGAGGGGTTTAGGGATCGTATTGAGAGATTAGGGCCTAAGCAGCTGAAGGTGTGGGCACCAATGGGCATGGTATTAATATTAGGGCTGTTGACACCAGATATAACGGTGTAGGAGTGGGATGAGGAACTGTGAAGGCTATTCCAGTGCGATGACCTAGATAAGAATGGAACGAGATGAGAGTAGTCCCATACACCAGATAGCAGTGGATTGTTGGAAGATGATAGAGTCAATGATGTCAGAGGCCTGTGGACAGGTAGAGAAGAAATAATCACAGTCACAGTATGTAATTTACACTTTGATAATCATCTTTGTACTGTGGCAAGGTGGAAGACTGGAAAAAGGCACTCAAACTTGGCAAAGCTGGGAATGGATTTGGGAGGAATTACACATTCAAGGATTTTTGAAGAGGAGAGAGAAATTTGGGGCAGTGTGCAAAGATAGAGAAGTTGAGATTTTGTTTTTGGAATGGGAACAGTATTTGAGAGAGAGCTTAATACCAGCTGACATAGGGAGCAGGAAGAGAGTTGAATTTATCTGCTGTTTAGTAGGAACAGGCTTGAAGTGGGAGTCCCTTGGTCAAGCTGAAGTCAGGGTGCGGGTGTGAGGTGAAATAGGAGAGGAATTAGAAGATACTGGGGAGTAGGGAGATCTTGAAGTTGGGTCTGGTGAACTTGGCCTAGGGGAAAGGAAGTGTCACAGCTGCTTGGATAGTCTCTCCTTCTTAATGACACAGAAATCCATGAGTTCCTGGCGCTTAGTGAGGGTAGAGGGGACAGGAGGAATGAAGATGATTGGAGATGAGAAAAGGCAGGAATTCCTTTCTTCCAGGGTGAGCAGTTTGCACAGATGAGCCAAGGACCTTGTAGTCTTGTCACAGCTGGCAGTTGGTGGGTAATACTGGTTGTGTCTACATGATCCTTTTCATGATGTCTACCATGAACATGAGAAAGTGGATGAGTGTGTTAGAAGGTCGGGGGGGGGGGGGGGGGGGGGTAGAGAAACCAAGTGTAATACAGTAAGTAACGGTTAAATATGGCTGAATGCATCAAAGGTGGAGCTGAGGGTGTGATTGAGTGCATTCAAATTTTTTATGGTGCAAGTCTAGACAGGATTCTGAAAGTGAATTGGAAGAGCTTTTTCCAGATTTTTTAGTGGGTTTGAAAGGATGTAGGTGGAGAGTGACTGACTGAAATGATCAGAAATGGTTTTATGTATCAATATTCTAGTCCTTTCATTTCTGCCAATTAGTAAATCCAGCCATGGACAACCTGTGTTACGTATCTCCACTGATGTTGACTCACATTTCATCTAGTGTCTCAAACTATTGGTTCCCTCAGTGCTGTATTTCTGGCTGTACCTCCACTGATGTTAATCCCTTAACTTCCTTACCCTGCTGGTCATGACATTCCCCTCAGCATCCTGTATTACTAACTGTGGGAAGAATTTTTACCTGCAAAGGGGGTGCACATGTTGGTGAATGGGATAGGAAGCCCCCATATGTGACTGCTTTTAACACGTGCACATTTACTGCATGGGAGAAACACACCTAGGGCAGGCAGGTTAGCAATTATATTGCACAAAATGACAATTCAATGACAATTAACCTTGGCCTCTGTATCCAACTTGGGGTTTTCCAAATTCTCTCAAACCAGGATAAACAAGGCTATGAAATTGACAGACTGCTGCTATCCTTAGTGATAAGGGATGATTTCTACCACCTCACACGTATTTGACTTTAACCTGTTGTCAGCAGTGCAAGAGCAATTTATGTAGCTTGGTGGTGAATAGACCGCCCCCCCCCCACCTCCCCACCTCAGTGTTCACCCTGTCACTTGGCCTAGGAACTGATAGTAGCAGGCCACCAGGATAAGCTTCTTGGATCTGACAGTGCACTAGGAGACTCAGACTTTCTTGCTCTGATTTCAGTAAGGAAAGATCAAGGTTAGGCCATCAAGTCCCTTGAGCTTACCCCACCCCACTTCAGTGTGACTGTGCATGATTTAGTGCCTCTTTCCTTTCCTGCCACCTCTTAAAATCACTTGATTCTCTGTGAGACAGAAGCACCTTTTTACCTTCACCTTAAACATCCATAGCCTCCTGGAATAAACCTGCTTTCCAGAAGAATGTATAGTATTAGCTGATGCAAAGAACAGCCCAGCCCTGGATTCGGTTCCAAAGGATGGCTACTGCGTCTCCAGACTATCTTGATCAGCGGGGCTGGGTGGTCGAAAATGGAATAGCCTGATGTTGGTAATCATTAAAAACTCAACAATTCCACATTGTCTAATAGGAACAGTGGTAAACGACTCAATAATATCACCTGATTAATGGGAATGGGAAATAAGTGCTGGCTAACCAGTGATGCCCACATACCACAACTTAATGATGAAAAGAAAACTCTCTGCTGTATAATGGAGACAGTGGTGAATTTCCCTCTGTTTAATGAAGAAATGATTAATGTCATGCTGTGTAGTGGGGACAGTGAGAAGTAACCGGCTCTGTAATGGGTACCATAAGGAGTACCCCGCTAGTTAATGGAGATAGTGGTTAACAGCCTTGCTGTATAATGGGCACAGAGGTGAATGCCCCGTGCTGTTTAATGGGGACGGGCGGCATTGCACGCCCCGCGCTCTTTAATGGGGACGGTGCGCGGGCCCCGCTGGTGCCGTTGCCATGGGGACGCTGCGGCCTGGTCTCTGCGCGGCGCCGGAGCTCAGCCCGGGAGATGAGGAGGGCGGGTAACCGGGGAGGGGTTGGTGGTGGGGGAGAGGGGTTCGGGGGTGTCGGGAGTCAGGTAGAGCCGCTATGGAAGGGGGTGGGGGGAGCATTTAGACCATCATTCCAACTCCAGCACTTTTAAAGTGTCATTGTCGACCCTTTCTCACAACCGTGTGGCTCCCTCCCCCCCCCCCCCCACCTTCAAGTCTGAACGTTGCTTTCAAATTTGCTTTCCAGTATCCCAATGACTCACCACTTCATTCTTTTCTTGAGAACCAACTGGCTGCTGTTTGTCACTGAAAAACAGTCAAATCCTTAACCTGAATTCTGATGAAGGGTCTAGGCCCGAAACGCCAGCCTTCCTGCTCCTCTGATGCTGCTTGGCCTGCTGTGTCCTTCCAGCTCTACACCTTGTTGTCTCAAATCCTTAACTATCTCCGCTCGAAGGCAATCCCAGCTTCTCCAGTCTCTACACAAATTGCATTCACTCCTCCCTCTACACTCCTCAAGCCTTGACACCCTCTCTGAAGCGTTAAACCAAAATTGAATATACTACTCCACTGACCAGTGTGGGGTTTTTTCCCCCCTAAAGGTTTATCCTTGTACTTAATGCCTTTTTTGGAAACCAACAACTTTCTGTCCTTTTGGCAGCCTGAAAGGGTTACCTGCTGCCTTTGAAGATGTGTGTATGTCCACTTCCAAGTTTCTCTGTTCTGCGCCCCTTTAAAATTGTATCATTTAGTTTATATTGCCTCCCATGCATTCTTGCAGCAACATTGAATGTGCCGTACATCTAAGGCCAAAGTATTCTCCCCGAGGTGTGATGCCCAGAGCTACATCTCCCAATTTGCTGATGATACAATGATGGTTAGGAAAATGAGTTGTGAAGAGGACATAGAGAGCCTATAAAGAGTATACAGAGAGGTTAAGTGGGTAAAAATCTGGCAAATGGAGTATATCTATGAAAGTGTGAAATTAATTGTCCATTTTGGGAGAAATTGTAAAAAGGGAGCATATTATCTAAATGGTGAGGAGTTCTAGAGTTATTGAGTCACACAGCGTGGAAACGGACCCTTTCGTCCCATCAGTCCATGCTGATTGTAATCCCAAACTAAACTAGTCCAACCTGCCTGCTTTTGGCCCACATCCCTTCAAATCTTGAACAAAAGTTGCTGGAAAAGCTCAGCAGGTCTGGCAGCATCTGTGAAGAAAAAATCAGAGTTAACGTTTCAGATCTGGTGACCCTTCCAATCTTTCCTATTCATGTTCTTAGTTGGGTACCCTAGTGCATGGTTTTAGCTTTGCTAGTATTTAATTGGAGGCGATTGTTGCTCAAAGAGAATTGGTTGTCAGTCTAATAACTGAACAACAGTGGAGAAGTCCAACGAGTTCATGACAAAATTGAACTGTTTCGACAGCATACATGTGAAAACTCATGCTGTACTTTTGCATGATGTTGTCCAAGGGTAGTGTGCAAATTAGAAATAGGAGGGAGCTCAAGGGTAGAAATTTCACTGACACCAGATGCAGTGGTCCAGGAAGAGAAGGTAGTGTAAGTTATACTCTGAGTATAATTTGGTAAGAATGGAACCAGGTGAAATCAGCCCCAACTGTGTTGAACACCAGTGGAGAGGAGGAAGGTTTGTCGTAAGCTGCAGACAGGCTGAGAAGTAAAAGATGGTGAATGTTCATCTTTATCAGAATCATGGAAACCTGATTGAAGGATTTAAACACAGAGATCCTGGAAAGATGGGACTAGATCGTAAGAAACCAGGACCAGGAATAGGACATTCAGCTTATTTAACGTAACAGCAAAGGGGGGTGCCTTATTTTTAAACTGTGTCCTCTAGTTCGAGAATGCCCAGTAAGGGTAAATATCCACTCAACACCTACCCTCTCGAGCTCCCTCAGAATCTCATGTTTCAGTAAGATCTCCTCAGGACCTTGTATGTTCCAATGAGAATTGTACAAAAAGGCAATACAGCCAAGCTTATCTGAGGAGATGGTTGGTGGCAACAGATTTGGAGGAGAGTGAGATGATAGCTGAAGTAAGAGAACATTTATTGGCTAATATGGCAACCAGATGGTGAAGTTGGATCGGCAGTAGTTTGGGTGGAAATGGGGTAGACGGACCAGGAAATCAATCTCGTTAACTATATGAGTTTGGATAGGGCATGACGGGGAGGTATGGGGAAAAACAAGTTAGGTGTTTGGCCTAGTGATCTAACGTAAGGGGGACATGACAGGGTCAGCTGATGCAATTGTTTTGATCTTATTGACAAAGAGCCGCGAGCTCTTTGCAGTTAAGTGAGGATGGAGGGTACAGAGAGTAAGGTTTAAGAAGGACGTTTGCAGTGAAGAAACTGTGTTATCATTGCACTCAAGGATGTTGCAGAAATAGTGAGCACTTTTAGCAGATGAAGGCAGGATATTGTAGTGTTCTATGGTCCAATTAGAACGCTGCACTGGATGACTAAACCAGCTGTCTGTCATTTCCCTTCAAATAGGACTATCTTTTCAATCTCACTGCTGCTCTGCAGTTCCAAGCTCCAATATGTCTTTGGACTTAACTAAGACACAAGTAATAAAATTATACTAACTTAATAAAGAAAAGTTTAATACTTCGAAGGGAAAAGGAAAGGACATTATGTTTAGTTGCACTTCGGCAATTTATTCAAAGTTTGCTTGTTCCAAAGAGGTAGGAGATAAATTGCAGCTGGGCCTTAATATCTGGATCAATAATAATGAGTTATTTTGCAATACCAGTACCAGTTGGGATGCAACCCTGCATAGCAGTCGGCAGAAAGTCCAAAGCTGTGTGATTCTTAGACTGCAAGTTTAAACTCTTGCAATATTTAAACCTTTAAAATAAGTTCTTACACACATTACTCATAACTATGTCCATCTAAGCTCAAAACAATGAATATCACCCACAGCAAGACTTTTTGTTGTCCCTGAGTTCCTGTCTAGATTACATCACCGAATTCCAGACCACAGTTGGAAAATTGTTTTTTATAAATCCACAAGAGTGACCACTCCTATGAGGAACAGAGTGAAAAGGAGAGTCAGAGGGAGAGGGAGCTTGAATGGGGAAAAGGAGAGTCAGAGACTGTGGGAAATGACAAATGAAAGAGGAAGAGAATGAGTGAAAGAATGAAGGGAAATGAGCAGAGAGATGTTCACTGGACACAGTTCACTCGCTGTGGTTCACTCATTCTAGACTAATGGCAGATCTTAAAATCATCTAGGTTTGGCATCACTTGTCTGATATCAGAATTCACTTACTGTGCAATAATGTGGTTATTATTAAATTTCTACTTGCAGGTGTGAATAGATTGAAATTTGAATTCTTTGTGAAGAAGTCCCAATGTTCCGGGTTTCGATGAGTTTAGCAAACTAAACCATGGACCTCCCGACACTGAAGCCTCCTGCTACCAGCCAGAATTGGAAGACCATCCTCCCTCTGAAAGAGGATGTTCTTCCCCAGTGCAAGTACAGGCAACAGTTGCAACGGCAATACATTAAAAATGCATCGTTGAACTTGAAATTCTCCCAGGATGTAGTTAACTCCATGATGTTTTACCGTGTCCCTTTCAAGGAAACAGATGGCAGAAACATGTTCAATCTCTTTGAGATTGTCGCACCCCAAGAGGTGAAAGACCACCCTCCCCGCAGGCCTGGCCATTTGAAGCGAATTTCATGTCACCCAAAGACTCTACGCCAGGTGCCCAAGAGGGAGGCAGAAGGTCAGCAGGCTGCACTGACCACAGACCGCTCTGATCGGAGATCAACACCCAGCCATCTGCACGAGGACGCCATCTCTGCTGAAGTGATCCGCATGCCAGAGAGCAGCAGTCTTGTGGCAGGAGCATTGCAGACTCCATCAGTGGAGCAATGGGGAGACATCCCCGAGAGAGGGGCAAAAGATTCCGTTAGCGAGCTGCATGAGCCGTGGGATGAGTACCTGATGAAGAAAATGAGCAAGAGGACGGCACAGTGGCTGGTGACCAAGCAGATGCCCAGGGGCCCTTCTCGCGCCAGGCTCAGCAAACTTCTGCAAGACCATTACGGCTCTGCCTACACCCATGCCCTGGTAGAGGATGAGACCATGACTGCCAGTGATTTCCACCTGTACGATCAAATCAAGGCCCAAGAGCCTGTTGTGACTGTAGTTAGGAAAGAGACCAAGACTCCACTGACTGCATACTACAGGTACTGATATCCAGTGCAAAATCCCAGTGTGATCTTCCTAGTTGATGGGTGTAACAATCCACAGGCGACTGTGTTGGATTTTTGGTTGCAGTTATGACATTTTGCATTATAGAAGGTACTGTCAATCATGCCTTTGCTCACATTTTAAAGGAGCCATTCATTGTTTTTCTGCAGCCTTGGAAATATTCTCGATTTAAGGCTATATCTAGTTCCCTGCTGAATAGTGTCATAGAGTCATATAGCGCGGAAACAGAGCCTTCAGCCCTACTCGTTCATGCCTATCAGGTGTCCTAAACTGAATTAGTCCTGTTTACCTGTATTTGGCCCATGTCCCTTTCCTGTCCAAATGTCTTTTTAAATGTTGTAATTGAACTCACCTCTACCACTTCCTCTGGCGTCACCCCCTATGTGAGAAAGTTGCTCCTCAGGTCCTTTTTAATTCTTTCCTCTCTCACCTTAATCCTATGCCCTCTAGTTTAGGACTCTCCTACCCTTGGGAAAAGACCTTGGCTATTCACATTATCAATGCCTCTCATGGTTTTATAAAGCTGTATAAGTTCACCCCACAAACTCCTACGTGCTAGCGATACGGTCCCAGCCTATCCAGCCTCTCCTTATAATTCAAACCCTCCAGTCTTGGTAACATCCTTGTAAATCTTTTTTGCAGTCTTTCCAGTTTAATAACATCCTTCCTGTAGCAGGGTGATCAGAGGTGTGCGTGGTATTCCAAATGTGACCTTACCAATGTCTTGTACAGCCTTAACAATATGTCCCAACTCCTGTATTCAAAGCTCTGACCGATAAAAGCCCTAGGTCTGTCTGTTCCACAACACTGCCCAGGGCCCTACCATTAAATCCTGCCCTGGTTTGTCATACCAAAATGCAACACCTCACAGCCTTATCTAAATTGAACTCCATCTGCCTCTTCTCAGCCCACTGGACTAGTTGATCAACATCCCATTGTACTTTTAGGTAACCTTCATCACTGTCCACTGTACCACCCAATTTTGGTGTCATCCGCAAATTTTAACCATGTCTTCTATATTCTCATCCAAATAGTTTATATAAATGATGAATGACAAGAGACCCAGCATCAATCCTCGTGGCACACCACTGGTCAGAGACCTCTAGTCTGAATACAACCCTCTACCATCACCGTCTGTCTCTTACCATCAAGCCAATTTTGTATCCAATTGGCTAGCTCTCCCTTGATCCCATGTGATCTCACCTTATCGACAAGTCTATCATCTGGAACCTCATCGAAAACATTGCTAAAGTCCATGTAGACAACGTCTACTGCTGTGCCTTCACCTATCTTCTTGGTTACCTCTTTCAAAACAGTCAAGTTTGTGAGATACAATTTCACATGCACAAAGCCATGCTGACTATCCTCAATCAGTCCTTGCCTTTCCAAATGCATGTAGATTCTCTCTGTCTGAATCCCTTCTAACAACTTACCCACACTGACATCACACTCACTGCTCTGTAGTTCCCTGGCATTTCCTTGCAGCCTTTTTAAAATAAAGGCACAACGTTAGCCACCCTCCAGTCTTGCGGCACCTCTACCATGGCTGTCAATGATACTAATATCTCTGGTGAGGGTCCACAATTTCTTCCCTAGCTTCCCACAATGTCCTGGGACACGCTTGATCAGGTCCTGGGGATTTATCTAAATTGCATTTTAGATGTCCTTGACCCTGTCTTCTCTAATGTGGACATTTTCAAGACATCGCTATTTATTTCCCTGAGTTGCTTAGCTTCCATGTCTTTCTCCACAGTAACACTGATGCAAAATATTTGTTTAGGATCTTGCCCATCTCCTGCAGTTTCACACATAGGTGGCCTTGTTGATCTTTAAGGGCCCCTATTTTTTCCCTAGTTGCTCTTTTTCCCATAATAAACTTGTAGAATCCCTTTGGATTCTCCTTAACCTTATTTGCCAAAGCTATCTCATGTTCCCTTTTTTGCCCTGCTGATTTTCTTAAGTGTATTTGTACGCCCCGTATACTCCTCAAGGGATTCACTTGATCCCAGCTGTCTGTACCTGACAAATGCCTCCTTTTTCTTGACCAGAGCCTCAATATCTCTAGTCATCCAGTGTTCCTACTCCTGCCAGCCTTGCCCTTCACACTACCAGGAACATGCTGTCCCCGAACTCGCCTTATCCCGCTATTAAAAGCGTTCCACTTGCTAGACATCCCTTTATCCGTGAACAGCCTCCCCCAGTCAACTTTTGACTCTCTAATAACATCAAAATTAGCCTTGCCCAAATGTATTTTTTTTTTATTCATTCACAGGATGAGGCCAGGCCAGCATTTATTGCCCATCCCTAATTGCCCCTAATCCACCCATAAAGCTTCACTGGACAATCCCCCAGGAATATCTTAAGTACTGCAGTGATGTTTTCCCTAATCAAAAACGCCATTCCCTCTCCTCTTTTGACTCCCCTATTACCCTTTCTAAAGCATCTGTACCCTAGAACATTGAGCTGTCAGTCCTCTCCCTCCCTTGGCCATGTTCTTTAATAGCTATGATATCCTAGTCCCATGTTCCCATCCATGCCCTAAATTCATCTGCCTTACTTGTCAGGCATCTTGCATCGAAATAAATGCAGTTTAATTTATCAGTCTTCCCTCATTCTTTGCTGTGCTGTTGCCTGCCTTGTGTATTTAACTTGCTCTCTTTAACTTCTGTACCAGCCTCAACTTCTCTCTTGTCTTACTGTTGCTTATGGCCTCATTTCCCGGCCAGACTAGTTTAAACCTTCCTGAGTAGCACTAGCAAATCTCCCCATGAGGATATTGGTCCCCGCTCCAGTTCACGTGCAACCCGTACTTCTTTTACAGGTCACTTCTGCTCTAGAAGAGTTCCCAATGATCCAAAAATCTGCCCCCTGCACTAGCTCCTAAACCATGCATTCATCTGCTGTATTCTCCTATTTTTACTCTTACTCGCGCATGGCACCAAGAATAATCCAGAGATTACTACCCTTGAGGTCCTGCTTTTTGACTTCCTGCCTAACTTTCTGCTTATATTTACTCTGCAGGGTCTCTTCCCTTTTTCTACCTATGTCATTGGTACCAACATATGCAATGATCTCTGACAGTTCATGCTCCTCTTTGAGAATTTGCTGCAAACATTCCAAGAGGTCTTTGAACCTACTATGTGCTAATGTGCTAATCGCGCCCTCTCAGGGTATTCAAGTGGCTGCGTATTAAAGATAAATTCCCTGAGTTGTTTTGCCATTATGTTAAATCCCTCATTACCACTGGAAACAATTTCTTCATATCCATTCTATCAAAATCCCTAACCATTCATACACCTCTGGCAAATTTACCTTCTCCTTCTCTGTTCAAAGGAGAACAACATAGCATATACCCCTCCACATAACTGGTTTCCTATCCTGGGTATAAATCTCCTCTGTACCAACTTTAAGGCCTTGACGTCTTTCTAAAAGTGCTGTGGCAAAATCAAATGCGATGCTTCAGCTGAGGTCTAACCAATACTATAATATATATTAACTTGGCATTGCTACTACCTGTGGCATTACCTGAAACCTACATACCCTCTGTTTGATCTGAGCAATTGTGTTCTGAAATGCAATTCTACCATTAACCCTACTTCTTTTTTGTCAGCTCTGTCATTTTACTTGCTGTTTCACAGGGTCCTTGCATCGTTCTTAAACTGGACCTTCAGACAGCTGTAACTCACTCAGTGCCGATACGAAGGCCTCTAGGCATGGTCAGTTGGAGTGGGGCATCACCTCAGACTTAGCAGACCACTGATCATCCCGCCTAGAAAGTGTGTATGCTGAACAACCCTGGCAACGATTATTGTCCCTTGTCTGATCTGGATAAGTGTTCTGGTTCTGGGCAGTGCACCTCATAAAGAATATATTGACTTTGAAGAGAATGCATTATAAACTAAGTAGGGTACTTGATGAGAGGCATGTTGCACGTGCTATGTTTGTATGCTGTTGAATGTCAACGGTTGAGAGATGATTTGATCTATATGTTGCACATGATTACAGGCTTCAATAGGGAGTACATAGTGAAACTGTTTCCTCTGGTAAAGAAATCCAAAACAAGGATCCACAGTGTTATAATTAGGTTCTTTAAGGGTGAAATCAGGAAGGACTTTTTCACACAAAGTAAAACTCCCTCTCTCACTTACACAAAAGTTTTGCGGAGTGTGATCATTTGGAGCTTTCCACACAAGTCGATAAATTTTTCCTAGGTTAGTGTGTTAAGGCAGATTAAGACAGATGGGATTAAGAAATAGACCTAATTGAGGGGCTAAATGGCTTCATATTCCCATTTCTATGAGGAAGATGTGGTTTTGAATTTTGATCCTGGCTGTGTGGAATGTTGGGACGTGGACTGGACAACATTTCTTTAAGAACCTGGGTATAACATTGTCCCCATTTATATTTGCTTTTCTCATGTCCTCTGCTATTTGTTTCGACCCTTGTGATATCCTTTGCGCTGTGTTTTGATCCAGTTGTGTGGGTTAGGTCTCTTAGTAACTCTCGAGAAGGACTGTCTGATAGTGAGTTGGGGTTTGTGGGGGGGTGTGTGTGTGCATGTGTAGGTATTAAATGATTCCCTCTGATGCACTGCCTGACATTGGATGGCACAGTGGCAGAACATGTATGAAAAGGGAGTGGAAGGCCTCTTCCCAAAACTTTGTTAAAATCTTTCTCAGCTCTTTCCATACCGTATATTCTAGCTTGTACCTTTCCCAACCATCACAGTGAACAGCAATGAATGGCCTGGGGTTTTCTCTAAAGTTATGTCTTTCTCAGCCCCTTGAGCTCAGAAAATGAGGTTATTGCAGAACTGCATTTTTCACTATAAGTGAAACATTCATGAGGCTGATGAATCTGATTGTGGACCTGTAGGTGAGCAGTTTTCTTCAAAGATAGTCTTTGACTGTCAGCTCAAACCTTCAAGGAGAGATTGTAGGCAAGAATAAACTTTGGTTTATACGGCTCTTTCCAGAATCTTGGAATGACCGTCAACCAGTAAAGTACTTTTGACATAGAGTCCCAGTGTAGTGGAGCAACATGTTGTGCTCTACCAGCTCTGTGTAAGAGCAATCCAATTAGTCCACTCAAATCCTTCCCCATAGTCCTGCAGATTTTAGCTTTCCATGCGCACGTCCAACTGCCTTTCATAATTTACGTTTATATCTGCTTTCACAGCCCATTCAGTCAGTTGGATGAAGTAAGTGTCAGAGAATTTAAAGTACTGTGTGGATTACCTTTTACGTTCTCATCAATATTGTCTACAACTGCATATGTCACTCAGGAGTAGTCATTCTAGGCTGATCAATGCAACTGTCAACAGTCTTTGCTCATAACCCTAGGCTCTGACACTGGGGATTAGCTTGAACTTGCACGTGTCCCTGTTTTGTACTGTCATCCCACATTTGTTCCTTTCGATAATACTCGTCCTAATCGGCGACATTAGGACAACTGTGCCCGTTCATAAAGTTGAATATTATTAATAAATTGCTGCATCAAGACCTCAGCAGTGTAAATTCATTCAAGTGAAACATGTTTGAGAGGTTATTACTGTCAACACATACTATTGTTAAGTCTTCACAGAGCATTGAGCATCACCATCATGTAAATACTGGCCAGGATACCAGGGGAAGCTGCTTTTCGCCAAATTAGTTCTTGAGTGTCTACCTGAGCAAGCAAATGGGGTCCCTGTTGTCTCATCTAAAAGATGACATGTCTGACAGTGCAGCACTCCCTCAGTATTGCGCTGGAGCATCAGACTTTTTTTTTTGTGCTGTAGCCCCCTGGACTTGAACCTGAAATTTAGTGACTCACAGGTGAAAATGCTGCTGCCTGTCAGCTGCAGCTGGCTTCAAAAAGGAAAATCAGAGAAATTATAGCACTAGAGGAGCCCATGTTTGTGCTAGTTCTTCACATGGAGTATCTACTCTAATTTATTTCCCTGTCCTTTGTCATGTCCTGAAAGGTAGAGTATATATTTTATAGACTGCAGAGTCAGCAAATAAACATGTGATTGGAAAAAGATTTAGATGCTGGTTCCTAGCTGTTAACCTATTTGGGCAGCTGTGATTCAACAATGTTTAATTTAATGGGTAAGGAGGGATAAGCGCTGACCCTGATCAAAGTCATGCAGAAGTTTGTGCTCTGTGTTGGAGAGATGAGCTATTTCTGTGCATCAGGACAAGATAACAATAAGAATAGCAGTTATGGCTGACAACATGTTACTATGGTTGGCTTTCACAGGGTTCCTGGGTTTGACCTGAATGAGGGCATGGAGGAACCTGGATCTATAAATCGAACTGCAGCCAACCTGAAAGTGAAGCACTTTGAACCTCCACCAAAACCCAAGACCATTCTGAACTCAAAGCTTGGGAAACACATCTATTACACTGAGAATGTATTTGAGCAAGATCTATACACTGGTAATTAGAGACATTAAGAACTACATGAACAGCTGTTTACAGGAAGTGCAAAGAAACCTGAGTACTACATTTCTTGATGTATTGCTAAATAATGAGATTCTCATTTGTATTCAACACCAGTGGACAATCCAATATCGGATTCTAAGGCTCCCAAACCCTTTTTCATTCTCCCCCACTCCACAGCCTCGCCTCCCTGATCTGTGATTCCTAAGGGACAAAGCTCCTGCACCTTCACTCTGTTGTGGTTCAGGGGATTGGGTATAATCTATGCGTCTTGTGCTGATAATGTGCAACTTTTCAACAGGATGTGTGTTAGAACTTCATTTTATTTCATTGTGGTAAAATCACACTGAGACCTGTGGCAAGTTGTAATCCCTTATGCACTTCCATTTAAATCCGATACGCAGAACATTGGATCAGAGCAACATTAGACCAGGCACTACTATTGCATGTTGACTCATTCAGGTTTTTGCTCCTTCACTGAAAAGGGGTAATGGCATAAACAACCCAAGAAATGCTTTTGTAGGTGCATTTGTTGGGTTCCTCAGTAGTCCTTCTCATTGCCTGATCACACTGAAGAACAAGCTTCAGACACCCCCTCCCACTGCTGTATCGCTGGGTCAGAATCGTGGATCTTCCCATCTGACAGCATTGTGGGTGCAAATTCCAGGCAACCACTACCCCTTCTCTAGGGCAGAAGTGATGTCACTTCAACTGATGAAGGAGCAACACCTCGAATGCTTGTGATTTCAAATAAACCTGTTGGACTATAACCTGGTGTCGTGTCACTTCTGACTTTGACCATCCAGTCCAACAGTGGCACCTCTACATCGTGGCCTTCTCAAGGAGTGTTAGGGGTGGGAAACAAATACTGGTCTAGCCAGTGCCATGACAGAATCCCTACAGTGTGGAGGCAGACCATTCAGCCCATCAAGTCCACACCGCTCTTCTGAAAAGTATCTGATATATGAGAGGTCTGTTCATAATTCTGATAATAGCAGGAAAGAAGCTGTTGTTGAATCTGGATCTAGAATCCAGAGGAGAGGGTGCAGATTTAAAGTAATTTGCAAAAGAAGTAAATGTAATGAGAAGAAACTTTTGCACACGGCAAATTGTTCGGTTGTGGAATGCAGAGCTTGGAAGTGTGATGGAGACAGATTCAATCAAGGCACTAATGAGACATTGAATGATTACTTAAATAGAACGAATATGCTGTGTTAATGGGGAAAGATGTGAGGTTGGCACTAAATCCATTTGACGAAGTAGTGAGGGTATGACTGGAAGAAAGCCCTTCTTTTATACTATAGCTGATCTGTTACATGAAACAGAAACCAAAATTAATGAAGAAACTTGGGTCCAGTCAGTAACTCCTGTTCAGAACTAGATAGTCTCTAGGAGAGATACTAAAGGTAGGAATGAAGTGGAGGGGAGGGGAAGTTAAAGGAGGAAATGATAGTTGGAATCAGAGCCCAGACGGAGAGAAAGACAGACAAATGAATGGCCAGAGAGACAGAAAAGCTGATAATGGGAACCATAAGTACGTGAAAATGTGTTGGCTGTGTTGAAAGCAGCCTATGTCATGACAGGGCTAGGGGTGTGGGGGTGGGTAAAGGTGCTAAAATTATTGAAATTAATACTGAGTCCTGAAGGCTGTAGGGTCCCCAAGTGGAAAATGAGATGCTGTTCTTCCAGTTTCTTCTGAGCCTCACTGGAGCACTGCAGCAGCTCTGAGATGGAATGTTGGCCAAGGGACACAGCGGTGAGTTGAAGTGGCAGGTAACTGGGAGCAGACAGGATGTAAGTGTTCTGTAAAGTGGTTACCCAATCTACATTTTGTCTCAACTGTGTGGAGGGGACCACATTGTGAGCAGCGAATACAGTAGATAGATTGAATGAAATGTAGGTAAATCGATACTTCACCTGGAAGATACTTGGATAGTGAGGAGAGGGAAGTAAAAGGGCAAATGCTATACCTTCTGTGATTACGTTGAAAGGTGCCATTTGCTGTGAGGAGTCTTTGAGAGTGGAGGAGGAATGGACCCGAGTATCCCAGAGGGAATAGTCTTTGTGGAATGCTGATAAGGGAGGGGAGGGGAATAAGACCATAAGACATAGGAGCAGAAATTAGGCCATTCGGCCCATCGAGTCTGCTCTGCCATTTAATCATGGCTGATAAGTTCCTCAAACCCATTCTCCTGCTTTCTCCCCATAACCCTTGACCCCTTGATAATTAAGAACCTATCTATGTGTCTAGTGATGGCATCCCGCTGGAGATGGTGGACATGGTGGCTTATGATCCTTTGGATGTGGGGACTGGTAAGGTGGAAAGTGAGGCCTGTGATTTGAACCTGTGTGCCTGGATGGCATGTTGCAGCATTGGGAAGCCAGTTTAAGCAGTTACAGCATCAATTAACCCTCAACAACCCTCAATGAATCCTCAATAATTCTGTAAGTACATCAATAAACAGGGGCCCCTCACTTATTCTGTGATCATACCTTTGCACAGATGACTCCTCATCTCTTTTGTGACTATTCTGAATTGATCATCCTTCATCTGCTCTTTATTTCACACTACTAAACAGGAATTTCTCGCTCATTGTTTGACTGAATCACTCAAGTGGATGAGTGTTCATGTAATGAAAGACATGGGTTAAGAACTGAAAGTAACCTAAAATAGAATAAGGCTTTGGAATAAGTTAAAAGTTTGTGGGAAGGATGTTGCACTGGGCAGTGTACAGGAGTTAACTCAATATGCTTTGGTTATTGTAGTGGGTATGTATTTGATCTGTTGGAGGAGTCAGTTAATTCTTCATGGCTATTCATGTTTATGCGTTAAATTTGGGATGTTTGGTCATTATGTGCAAGTTGCTTTGTGTCACTGAATTTTACACGTTTTACATTTCAGGGTCATCCAGCGTGGTTTACCACCGTGGTGAGAAATACAAGGAGAGGATCATCATGGACAACCTTTCCGAGTATCAGAAACACCTCCAAGAGCGCTTTCCCCAGCCCCCAGAAGAGTGGTTGGAGGACAAAGGGGACAAAGACAAACAGCGGGCGCCTCCAGGTCTGAGCTCCATTAAAAGCCAAGTTAGTAACCTAAGGTCCTTGTCATGTCTTATGGCAGACGTTACGTCCTCAACATGGGGAAGACTGAAAACCTTGACTTCAACCCTGTCAGAAGCTCCACTTAATGCCGTGCTTATGGGCTGATGAAACACACCTGGCCCCCTTATGTTTTTTTTTTCGGGACTCACTCCCACATGCATTGAGTAGTCCTTCCCCACCACTACATTATTCTTAAGGAGCCCATTCATGAGCCCCCCCCCCTCATAAAATATCTTGGTGACTCATCAAAGCTGATCAGCTCCCAAGAATCACTTACCTTTTGTTAATTTCACCTACGTTTGGTGAAAATAGCTTCTTTCAAATAGGTCTCTTAAATCCTCTTTCAAGGGTTCCTTCTTTGATTTAGGTATATTCTGACCTGAGCTCTAAAGCTATATCCATTTCTGTATTATCAGTAATGTTAATACTTCATAGAATCCCTGCAGTGTGGAAACAGGCCCTTTGGACCAACAAGTCCACACCAACCCTTGGAGCATACCCTTATAACCCACCTAAGCTACACATCCCTGGACACTACGGGCAATTTAGCATGGCCAATCTGCCTAACTTGCACATCTTTGGACTGTGGGAGGAAACCGGAGCACCCGGACGAAACTCTCACAGACACAGGGAGAATGTGCAAACTCCACACCGAGGGTGAAATTGAACCTGCATCGCTGGTGCTATGAGGCAGCAGTGCTAACCACTGAACCACCATGCCGCCCCAATCAGATTGTATCAGAACTCACCTCTCCAGGGTATCCAACCCCAAGACCTGAAGTCTATCTTAGGCCTGAGGTCATCCGCTTTTCCTTTCTTCGTCCTTTCTCTAGGTCTCAAAGTTCTTTAAATGGGAAGAATAAAGGTGTACACAACAGTTCAAAGTTATATAAATGCAAGTTGCATTGCTTCTTCACCTGTTTTAATTAAAACGTTTTGGATGTGGCAGATGCAGCATCATCAATGTTAACATCTTGCAGCTTTATGTGGCAATTAATATAGAGAAGTTCCACAAGGTGTATCACAGAGGTGTAAGCAAAAAGCAGGTGCTGAGGTAAAGGAGAAAATATTAGGTACAGTGAGCATAGGCTTAGACAGAGGTGCATTTAAAGGAGGACATTAAGGAGGAGATAGAGATGGAGAAATAGAAGGGATTAAGGAGAAAATTCCAGAGTGTGAGGCCTAGACGCTGAAGGGACAACTGTCACTAATGAAGGGAGTGAGAGATGCACAAAAGATCAGAAGTTGATGAGCGTTGTAAAGCGGAGAAGGATATAGGTAATGAAAGAAGGGATGTGAGGTCAGAAGCTCAGCTTGAATAGTGAAAAATCTGACTCAACCTGAGATTGGCCTAGAGGAAATTGAGTGGAATGGAATGGATGTCAAAGGTTTGAGATTTGGGGCAAAAGCTCAAGATGATGGCTTTGCTCTTTCCAAATTTAGTAAGGAAACTGTGGTTTAGTTGCAGAGGGATACAGACAAGTAATAAAGTGGGAAAAATCTTGGCAAATGGAATATTCCATGGGGAAATGTGAGATTATGCACTTTTAGAGTCATAGTCATAGAGTCATAGAGATATACAGCATGGAAACAGACCCTTTTGGTCTAACTTGTCCATGCCGACCAGATATCCTAAATAAATCTAGTCCCATTTGCCAGCATTTGGCCTATATCCCTCTGAGAGGTGACCTTATAGAGGTTTATAAAATCATGAGGGGCATGGATATGATGAATAGCCTTTTTCCCCGGGCAGGGGAGTCCAAAGCTGGAGGGCATAGGTTTAAGGTGAGAGAGGAAAGTTTTAAAAGGGACCTAAGGGGAAACTTTTTCATGTAGAGGGTGGTGCATGTATGGAATGAGCTGCCAGAGGAAGTCGTGGAGGCTGGTATAATTATGACATATAAAAGGCATCTGGATGGGTACATGAATAGGAATGTCTTAGAGGGAAATGGGCTAAATGCTAGCAAATGGGACTAGGTTTATTTAGAATATCTGGTCAGTATGGATGAGTTGGACCAAAGGGTCTGTTTCCATGGTGTATAACTCTGACTCTATGATTGATATCAAATATAGAGTACTGTCTTATGAGGAGAGGTTGAGTAGATTGGCTCTGTACTCATTGGAATTTAAAAGAATGAGAGGTGACTTCATTGAAACATACGAGTTTCTTAGGGGATTTGACAGGGTAGTTGCAAAAAGGGTATTTCCCCTTGTGGGACAGTCTACCATCTGAGGACACAATCTCAGAATAAAGAGATGGAACAAACAATAAACAGTACAGCACAGCAACAGGCCCTTCAGCCCTCCAAGCCTGTGCCGACACATTTTGTCCTTCCATATTAAAACTGTCTTCACTTATAGGATCTGTATTCTTCTATTCCCTTCCTGTTCATGTATTCACTGCACATTTAATACAGATGAGGAATTTCTTCTCCCTGAGGAAAGTGAATCTGTGGAATTCTTTACAACAGAGGGCCATTGAGTCTGGGTCATTAAGTATATTCAGGGCTAAGATAGACAGATTTTCAATCAGTAAAGGAATGAAGGATTATAGAAAAAAGGCAGAAAAATGAAGTTGAGGATTGTCAATCAGTGTTGACCTCATTGAATGAAACAGCAGACTCGATGGGCTGAATAGCCTATTCTGCTGCTGTGTTTTATGGTCTTAGCCAGGACAATGTTGAGGTGATGATGGAACAGCGTGGATTGTTACCAGCGTATTCTACAATAGGTCACCCTTCCTATTTTGCGTAGTTTATAGATATTGCTGCCTTTTTTTAGAAGGTTGTTGTTATATTGCTTGTATTACAATTGGTGGTAACCCTGAGCACCAAGGAGTTGCAAAATGAATTTGACAGCTGCTGCAGTTTAGCTTGGGAACGAGGGACGCAACATGAAATTTGCAAGTTTGTGCTCATTTTAGAAGCAACTGCATATTGGATTTCTACTCTCTCCCTTCCCTTTGCTGATTTGTCTTCTCTGGATGCTTGTTTGAGTGCTTTTCCTGTGACTCCAGCTCTATTTCTTTCTCAGCTTCCTTCATTCCAATCATCAAGACTGTTCTTCTCTTGTTTTATCAAAGTATCTTTAAAGCAGTACTCCTTGCTCATATTCCAGCTGATTGAAAGGCTTTCAGAACATGCATATAAGTCAGGAGCAGGTGATAATGAGGCCCCTTGGAACTTTGAGCCTGTTCCACCATTCAGTAAGATAATGACTGATTTGCTTGTAACTTTACCTCCGCTCCATCTACTCCTGATAATTTTTCATTCCCTTGCTAACTGAGAATCAACCACTGCCTTAAAAATATTTAAAGATTCTACCTCACTGGCTTTAAGGAAGAGAGCTCCAAAGACAACCATCCTTCTGAGAATTATTTTCGCTTCATGTCTTAAATAGATAATCCTTTATTTTTAAACACTGGTTCTAGATTCTTTCAAAAGAGGAAACATCCTCTCAACATTCCCTCCTGTCAAGACCCCTAAGGAACTCGTGTTTCAATCAAGTCACCCCTTACTCTTTGAAACTCGAGCAGATACAGGTCTAGGCTGTTCAACCTTTCCTCGTAAGGCAACCTGCCCCTTCCAGGTATTAGTCTAGTAAACCTACTCTGACTGCTTTCAGTGCTTTTACACTCTTATCTTCAAATAAGGAAACTAGTACAGTGCACAGCACTCCTGATATGGTTTACTGAAGCATAACCTTTCATATTGCCTTTCCCTCACAATAAAAGTAACACTTACTTGATCAATTGGGGACTATATGAGGCCTGATTTTGACTGTGTTGAAGTGAATGAGTTTTCAGTGAGTTAACACCTTGCCCTATTACCTTACACGGCATTTTGCCCTTCCTTTTCGTTTTCGCTAAAGTAGAATCATAAGCCAAGAAAGAAGAACACTTCTGATGTGGTGAATAAAATTATACCACAGCACAGGCCTTTTTGAAGTGGGGTGTGTGGTGGGGATAATGAGAGCTGCTTCTCAAGTCAGAATAGTGAGGCCCAAGATGTTTGAAGGATGAGGATGAAGAATTGTGGCTGCTCAGAGAAGCTTCACTGATACTCAAACTGTTTCTGCCAGTGGAAGAACTGATTGCGTCTTTATCCATACAGGATCCAAGAGGGTGTCAAAAGGCTTGAGGCGGTGGACAGGCCTGCCTACCCTCACTGATTACACCATGGAGCAAGGACTGAGACTGCCAGACTATGATCTGGTGGAAAAAAAAGTGAAGAAATCCTTTAAAATGCAAGAGGACCTGCAAGTAATGCGCAACATGGTCACAGGATGGATCAAAGCTTGGCGCATTTGTAAGTTTTCTGCTCAGAAAAAACATCAGCAAATTATTTCCATGATGTTCCTCGTTTTACTTCAATAGCTGCTGTAGGCTCTTGGGCATCAAATATTCCATGGGCACTGATTATTTCAGAGTGACCCACTGACCTGCGCTGAAGTATGGTTTTCAGAAGTGCTGAATCATTCAAAGAATTAATTCAAAATTTGCAATAAATATTCATTCCCTTAAAGAATAAAAGCTTCGTGGGAAAGTGTTCAAGCAGTGAGATGGGGTGTTGCGAACAGAATATCATTAGCAGAAAGAGGCTTTCATTAGCCTAGCTCTTGTAATCATGGTTAATCTTGGATAAATTGCCTATTTTCAGCTAGGTCTTGGGATCCAGCCTGAAGAAATGAATGAATTTGGGTGTTGGTGGCAGAGTAAGTGGGTGAGCAGGAGAGTGAGTAAGTAACTGGATATGGTGAACTTGGATTTTCAAAATAACATTTGATAAGGTGCCATGTAAGTGGCTATTGCACACAATTTGGTCCTGTGGGATTGGGAGAAATATATTAGCAAGGACTGAGGATTACTTACTGGGACTGAAAACAGAGAGTAGAAATAGATAGATCATTTTCATTTTGCGATGCTGTAACTAGCAGTGTAACTCAAAGATCAGTGCTAAGGTCTCTGCTATTTACAATTTATAATTGATAACTTGGATGAGCGTAATATTTAAGTTTTCTAACATTCACTGGAGTGCTGCTTCCTTCTCCCATCTCAGCCAAGGGACTTTTGTTCATGCATGAACCCAAGCTGTGATTCTCAGTTGTCAGTTTATTTCCTGAGTCAGGTTCCCTGAGCCGATTGAGAGCTGACCATGTGATCTTGCTGCATATAGTTCCAGTAGAAACTGGATTCTTCTCAGATACAATCATTGACTGTTATGTGAATCCTCCTATAGTACTATGTAAGCTGAAAACAGTGTTGCAAAATACAGTTTTAACATTCTGTTACACTCTAGATTCGCATTGGCAGGATGTCACTATAGAAGAACTGAAGAGAGACCTCAAAGCAATACATAGAAATGTCCAGCTCAGTGCCCTTGCAACCTGCGCATCAGGAGCTATTGAGCGTCCAAAACTGGAAGAAGTCAAAGGTGTGATTTACATTTACAGACCTGAAAGAAATTTCATTTCAGTGTTGCATTGTTGCTGATTTCTAAGATGTCTGCAGCTGTCTTGACCTTACCAATGGCACAAAGACTTGTGATCTTTGTAAATAGAAGCAGTTTAGGTGGTTCCCAGGGCAGTGTAACAGTGGAACACCACTATTGTTTTTAACAGTGTCAGAGTCAGCATTTTTGCTCATCTTTGCTCTCAACTCAGTGCTTTGCTAGGCAATTAAGAGTCTGTTTACTGAGTCACAAGTAGGCCAGATCGAAGAAGGACTGCAGATGTCCTTTCCTTGAGGGCATTGGTGAGCCAGATAAAGTTTTGCAATAACAAAAGCAGTGAAAACTAGAGACTCTGGAGAAACTCAGCAGGTCTGGCAGCAACTGTGGAGAGAAAGCTGAGTCAACCATTCTGAAGAAGGGTCATTGGTCCCGAAAGATTGACTCTGCTTTCTCCCCACATGCTGCCAGAATTGCTAAGTTTCTCCAGCAATCTCAGTTTCTGTTTCACATTTCCAGCATTTGCAGTTTTTTTTTAGAATTTTACAATAATCTGGTAATTTCACGGTCGCTGTTACAAATACAAGCATTAGGCCTCTCCCACCCTAACCGATTCCCAGCTGGCAAAGGGGAGTCACCAGGAGATTGATGGCAATCTCCATAAAGAACTAATCAGTTTCTTTTCTTGAGCCATACCCTCCCTGTGTAGTTTTTTTGATGTCTGCTTATTAGTTATTGGAATATGTCAGTTACAGAGATGGGTGAACTGCCAAAAAGAGGCAAAAACAAATGCTACCTCCTCTCCTTTGGCTGTAGTATTTACGGCATTCACCCTCCCCCTACCCCTCACACACACTCACTCTCGTGCATATGTGCGTGTCTGCACGTGTGCACATGTAGTAATGGTGACAATAGGAGTAGTGAATAATACTAACAGTAACAGCTACAATCGGGGGTGGGGGTTGAGGCACGTAGAGCAGTAGAAATAATGTACATAGTCATCCATACAGAGAGAATTTCACTGAAAATAACAGGACTAATTGGGAGAGTCGCACATTATCATTATTGGAGTCACAGACTGAGATATCAAGGACAGTTGGGAGAATCGTTCAGTCACAGGGATAAATACAGTGTGACGCACTGAGACTTGCACAAGGATGGAGAGAGAATCTCTCAGCGAGCAGCAGGAACAATTGGGAAATCCTCACGCATGTAACAGGAAATATGAGACAAGCAGTCCAGAGAAGGTACTGTAGGTTGACACCAGGTAAGGTGGAAAGGACTGGCTTATAAGGAGAGGTTGGCAGTAGGTCGGCCCTGTACTCACTGGAATTTAGAAGAATGTGAAATGTGAAGCATACAAGATTCTTGGGGGACGAGACAGGGTAGATGCAGAGATGTTGTTTCCTCTTGTGGGAGAGTGTAGGATAAGAAGGGATGATCTCAGAATAAGGGGTTGCACATTCAAGGCAGAGATGAGGAGGAATTTCTTACGTTTGAGGGTAGTGAATCCGTGGAATTCTTTATTGCAGATGGCTGTTGAGGCTGTTATATTCAAGGCTGAGATAGACAGATTTTCAATCAGTAAGGGAATCAGTGGTTAAGGAGAAAAGGTAAGAAAGTGGAGTTGAGGATTATCAGATCAGACACAATCTCATTGAATGCTGGGGCTACTCAATGGGCTGAATGGCCTAAATTTACTCCTATGTCTTATGGTCTTAATAAAAATATGCAGTCCAGAGTTGTCAGCTCGAGTATTGTTAAATTTGGGTACTATATTGTAGGGAGCATTGAAGACAGTGTAGAAGTGATTTGGCCCATAGCTTTATGCACTTGAAAAGCCAAAGTATACATCTAAATACTTTGGGTTTCTGCTTCTACCACCCTTACAGGCAGTGAGTTCCAGAATCCCACCACCCTCTGGGTGAAAATGTTTTTCCTCACATCCTCTCTAAACCTCCTGACCTTGACCTTAAATCTAAGTCCCCTGGTCATTGAACCCTCTATCAAGAGGAAAGGTTTATTCCTGTCTACCCTATGTGTGATCCTCATAATCTTATATCACAATCATGTCCCCTGTCAATTTCCTCTGCTCTGAGGAAAATGACTCCAGTCCGTCCAGTCTCTTTTCATAACTGAATCTCTCCAGCCCAGACAACATCCTGGTCAATCTCCTTTGCATCCTCCCTAATGCTATCACATCCCTTCTAAAATGCGGATTCCAGAACTGCACACAATCCTCTAGCTGTGGCCGAATCATTGGATGATTACTTGGACAGGTATGGACAAAAAGTGCAAGGTTGGCACAAGGTGAAGATGCTCACTTGAAGAGTTGGTGCAAGCAGAATGAGCTGAATAGCTGCCTCTTGTGCCATAACGCTTCTGTAATCCCATGACATTCGTACGCTCACATACTTCAATGGCAAAACTCTCATTCAAGTATCAGTGTAGCATTACGTCTGGAGAATCAGATCAAATTGGACAGCAACGTCCTGATAGCCGTGTTTAACTTACAGGTAAAGACTGCAGAGTTTGCTGCTGATTTACTACATTATGTGCTGACCATTGGCAGTTTCATAGTATCTCTTCACACAAAATCAGGCCAGAATGTGTCTTCATCTATTCCCATTATTATCAATTGATGGGGGGATGGGCGTTTCATTTATTTATTCTTTCATGGGATCTGGACACCTCTGCCGAAGCCAGCATTTGTTGTCTATCCCTAATTATTATTGAACCAAGTAGCTTGGTAGGCCATTTCAGAGAGGGAAGTTAAGAGTCAGCTACTTTGCTGTGGGTCTGGAGTCACAGGTAGAATAGACCAGCAGGTCAGGCAGCATCAGAGGAACAGGAAAGTCGACAGGACTAGACTTTCCTGTTCCTCTGATGCTGCCTGAGCTGCTGTGTTCCTCCAGCTCCACATTGTATCGATTCTGACTCCAGCACTAGCATTTCTTGCTATCTCTGTAGAGTAGACCAGTGAGAATGGTAGATTTCCTTGCGTAAAGCACATGAGTGAACCAGGTGGGTTTTTATGATGACCGATGATTGTTAATCTGTGACAGTGGCCATGAAACTTTCTCTTTTATTAATAGATCTAAATTCCACCTTCTGCCTGGTAGGATTTGAACCTGCGTCCTTAGAGCAGTCCAGTGACATTACCATTGTGCCACTGTTGGAATACTAAGAGTCATAACAGGGCTGTAAATGGACAGGACAAATTTTCAAGTGACTGAATTTCTGTAAAATGCCACTAATTTCATTCTAGATGGTATCAATCTTCACTTGAGGGACGCGAGTGAAGTTCAAGCTGTGCCCGAGTCTCTCCAGCCGCTGATTAGTGAGGCCCTGAACAGCAGTAACAAGCATGTGCAATTGGCAGCAGCGATCTGCCATGTCACAATGGAGAAAGTGAATGAAAGAGTTACAGAGATCCTACGTGACAATCTCCTTCATGGTATGAACTAGCACTGGCTGATGCATGAGAAAAAGCTTTGTATATATCCAGTGCCTTTCACAGCTTTAGGACTATCCAACTTATATCAAGTCAAAAAGTAATTATGATACAGAAGGAGGTTTTTCAGCCCATCAAATCCATACTGGCTTTCTGGTACAATTCGGTCAATCTCATTTTCTCATAGCCCTGCAAGTTTATTTCCTTCGAGAGCCTTTCCAATTTCATTTTGCAAACATTGCCTCTACTATCATCATCCTTGTAAACAGCAAGTTCCAAGTCAGCACTCGCTGTATAGAAGCATTCTTCATTGCTTCCCCCACCCAATCTATGTCCTACAATCCTTTTACCACCAGCTAAGAGAGACATCCTTTTTGCTTATCTTAATTAAACCAGGCATAATCTTGTACACTTCTATCAAATCTCTCTTCAACCTTTTTTATGACAAGTTTTCCAACCTTACTTTGTTGTGAAACTCTCTCATCATTCGAACCATTGTTGTAAATCTTCTCTGCATCTCTTCAAGAACCCTCGTATTCTTTCTAAAGTGTGGTGACCAGAACTGAATGCAGTATCTCTGGCCTGGTCCGTCAGAGCTTTATCAGAGTTCAGCACAATTTCCCTGCATTTGTATTTAATGTCTTTATTCTTGAAAATCTATACCAATAAAACTGTGGTCATAAGATGTCTTGGGGAGCATTGTTTTTCAAACTGGAGGATATAGTAGGTAGAAATCACGTACCAAGACTCACTGTTTTCTGTCCTTAAGCCAAACTTTTAGCCAAGCTTTAAAATGGAGCTTATATAGTTTGGACAAAAACAGAAGTTGCTGGAAAAGCTCAGCAGGTCTGGCAGCATCTGTGAAGAAAAAAATATCCAAGTTAATGTTTCGAGTCTGGTGAATTCTGAGGAAGGGTTCTTTAGACTCGAAACGTTAACTCTGATTTTTTTTCTTCACAGATGCTGCCAGATCTGCTGAGCTTTTCCAGCAACTTCTGTTTTTATTCCTGATTTACAGCATCCACAGTTAATTTGGTTTTTATTTATATAGTTTTGGATTAGTTTGATTCGGTTGAGCTAAACTAATTAAAAGTCTCAACCCTTTCAAAGTATATAGTTTAAATGCTTCATGTTCAATAGATATATACAGTCTGATAGCATGAGGTCACTGAGTTAATAAATAATATCAAATTTTGTTCAGCATAATCAAGCTGACAATCATCTGACAATTGAAAACTCTTGGAGTACAGTAACAAAAGACAGAAAAGTTATACTTATTAAAAATACAAGACAGACTTCAAACTGGATCTAAAATCTGGCCCTTGTACAGGAAACCCATTAATTCCTTCAAACAAAACATCTCATTTCCACACTGGCTAAAGTCTCTGACTAACTGCCTTGAACAATGTTAAATCTCAGACTGATGTCCCTGACTAACTGCCTCTGAACAATGCTAAAACCCAGACTGATGTCCCTGACTAACTACCTTTGGCAATGCTAAAACCCAGACTGACGTCTCTGACTAACTACCTATGAACAATGCTAAAACCCACACTGATGTCCCTGACTAACTGCCTCTGAAAAATGCTAAAACCCAGACTTTTCTGAAGAAGGGTCCAGACCTGAAACGTCAGCTTTCCTACTCCTCTGATGCTGCTTGGCCTGCTGTGCTCATCCAGCTGTACACCTTGTTATCTCAGATTCTCCAGCATCGGCAGTTCCTACTATCTCTAAAACCCAGACTGATGTCCCTGACTAACTGTCCTGACCTCAATATTCCCCATTTATGGACAATCCCTGATTAACGGAGACGATTCGTTCAATTGATCTAAAACCAACCTGTGGCAGGAGCACATGTCATCAATCCTGATTTTATATTTAATAAACCCTCTTAATAAAATGTTGTAGTTAAAACTCTGTTATGTGTCTGGGTTTTAGCATTGTTTCAGAGGCAGTTAGTTTACTAATAATGTGACAATAGTTAATTGGATCTTTCTATATGTGGATGATCTCTCTCTAAAATGATGTGTTACAGTGAGTTCTTCTTGTATTTAAAAAAAAGGCTGTTATTCATAAGCTTTGATGCCAAGGTTAGTGTTGCTTTTTGCGTTCCCTTTTGCCATTCTCCACTTAAATTCTTCCAGTGACAGTGTTACTTGTCTCTTCATCTTTGCTTGCATTTGGACCTGGTTTTCACTTGGAGAATTCACCTGATGTGCATCATTCACCCTCTTTTTTTTTGTATCAACACATTCTTTAACTCCGTCACCATCCAAAGAGCACTGTCCTTAGTTCCCAGCCTTTTCCATCTTGTTGGAATGTACCTAGCTTGTACCTGAACCACCTAAAGATCACCCATTGTTCTGTTACAGCTTTTCCTGTGAACCTTTTGGTTCCATTTTACCCTGGTTAGACCCCTTCTCACCCCATTGAAGGGAGCCTTCTTCTGATCTAGTATTTTTACTTCAGATTATTCCTTGTACTTTTCCATCACTAGTCTTATCCCAATATTCCTCCTCACTCACTTGGTCCAGTCAGCCCATATCTTTCCCTAGTTGTCTTCCTAATTAGTTAAGGGATGAACTGGTCAGGGATGAAGTTCCCATGAGCACATTTCAGAAATTCCTCCTTCTCCTTACCCTTTACTCTAACAGTGTCCCAATTGATGTTTAGGTAACTAAGCACTCTCAATGTCATCGTTCTATGGTTCTAGCACAGCTGGGATTTTGCTGCAGATTTGTCCTCTATATCTCTCACTATTGGAGACCTACACAATATCCCCCAATGTCTTCCTAATCCTAACTAAATGACTTCTCTCCTTTTTCCCTCAAGCGTCTTATCTTTGCAACATAGAATTACAGAAGTGATATGGTGCTAAAGGAGGCGATTGAGGCCATCATGTCTGTCCCAGTGAGCATTATGGCTTAGGGCCATACTTCTGCCTTTTCCCCATAACCTGCACATTGTTTCTATTTAAATGATCATCAGCTGCCCTCTTGAATGCCTCAATTGAATCACACTTCCAGGTAATACTTTCCAGACCTGAACCACTCAGGTGTAAAAGAATTTTAAAACATCTCATTTGCTGTACTTGCAGAACACTTTAAATTGATCTTAAAATTTGCGAATCTTTTACAAGAGGAAATCATTTTATCTATCCAGGTTTCTCGTAAGTTTGCAAAATTCCGTCACATGTCCTGTTCTCTCCAAGAAAAGTCTTACCATCTCCAATCTAGCCTTGTAACTGAAGGTTCTCATCCCTGGAACCGGTTTGATAAATCTCGTGCACTCTCTCCAATCCACTCGCATCTTTCCTGTGGTGTGGTGCTCAGAGTATGACAGTATGACAGGTCTAACCAGTGTCTTGCATTAGCTGAGCATAGCCACCTTGCTGTTGTACTGTACATCCCTATTTATAAAACCAAGGATACTGTCTACTTTATTAACTGCTTTCTCCACCTGTCTTGCCACCTTCGGAGATTGTGCACTTATACACCTGCATCCCTCCGCTCCTGCACCCCCTATTTTTTATTGGCCATATTCTTTATACAAAATTCCACTTCCCTTCTACACATTGATTTTCGTCTGCCACCAATGTGTCCACTCCATCAACTTATCTATTTCCTATGAAGCGATTCTCACAGTTTACAATACTTCAAATTTTACATCATCCACAGACTTTGAAATTTGCACTCACCAGTGGGTGTCTCTTTCTTGTACTAAAACTGAAAGCTGCAAACTGATTTTCCTCCAATTTTATAAGGCCAGTGATTTAAATCCCTTGAGATTGTGACACTTTAAATCCATGTTACAAGACTTGAAGCCTCCTCCTTAAAATTGTTGTGACAACACTGCAGATCGAGCCCATAAGAGCAGGGGTCTGTTTGAACTCCAATTTAATTTCCAATTGCCTGGCAGAACTATATTTAATGCCCTGTCTCTCTTCACCCCCACCCCACCAATCAGCACAGTCTGCTGGAAATGAGCTGGGACTTCTGCTTTCGGGTTTCCATCTGCCTTTTTTAAAAGACTGCTGTATCATCCTGACCTCAGCAAAAATCTGGTCTGAAGTTCACCTGCAAAGCGCACATCTCTGCTGTCCATTCATGACCTTAGAAATTCTCTATTCCTCTTTTCGTGTCTGGTTAGTCCCTTGTTTAACCTTTCAGTATGTGCCTCTAGAACAACTCTCTGTCAATATATATCCTTCAAATAATTCACTTAAAGTTATTCTTAACTTGATTAAGATGTTAATTTCTGAGTTTAAGCCAATGCTGTAGTTTAAAGAGGGAAAAAATTAAGGAGAAATACTTGCTTGCCAGTCACGTACTTGCTTTGTTGTGTCGTCATACTTTGATGATTTTGCCTTCTTCTGATTGTGGCCTGTCTGTCCTTATCCACTACCATCCCCTCCAACCCCAAATCCACAGCCCATCCTGTCCCACTGAACTCTAATACACCCACCAACTCCTCGAACCCCACATCCCTAGTCCATCCTCTCTACCCCGCACTCCAACCACCACCCTCACGCACCTCCGCCAACTCCTTCCACCATTCCCACAATCCCCAGTCCATCTTCTCCAACCAATTTGCTGTTAACATCCATTTCAACAAGTTGCTGAGAACACAGTGCACCCCCCCCCCCCCCCCAGTCTGTACCCTCCCACTGTGCTCCTTCCATTACCCACCCCACTGCCCCGTCTGTCCCCTCCCACTGTACTTCTTCCATTGTTCAGCACTTGGTCTTATTGCATCTCAATCATTTTTGGTCACTGCTCAAATACAGAAACAATGGCAGCTAATTGTATACAACAATTGATGTGATGTCCACAGACACAAGTGAGATAATCGTTAGATGTCCTACTTTTCATCCTACTTGTTCAAGGATAAGATCTGGCAATGACACTGGAAGAAACTCTCATGCTGTTATTTAAGGAATGCTGGTGACTTTCTGCGTGCACATGAGAAGACCACTGAACTTTTATTTTAAAGTCTCATCCAAAAGATAACAGTACGGTATTCCCTCAGATCTACATGGCAGTATATATGACTAGACATTTGCGTTCAGATCCCTGGGGTTGGATTTGAATCAATGACCTTCTCAATTGAGACATGAGTACTTCTACTGAACCATAGCTAAACATAAAATCCCCCAACTACTAATTCATAGGAGCAAATTACTACAGATGCTGGATATGTGCTGAAAACAACAAATGCTGGAGATCACAGCGGGTCAGACAGCATCCATGGAGAGACAGCTAGCCAACTTTTCGAGTCTAGATGACTCTTCATCAGAGCTGAAGTGAGGTGTGGAGGGGACAGCATTTATGCTATAGTTTTGGGGGGGATGTTGGTGGGATGTGGGGGTAGTGGAGGAAAGATGTTGATAGTTCAGATTAAATGATCAGAACATGAGAATGGCAGAACGATGGTGTGTCTCCTGCCAGATTTGAAAGGACATAGCACGGTGGTTCAGTGGCTATCACTGCTGCCTCACAGCGCCAGGAACCTGCGTTAGAATCCATCCTCGGGTGACTGTCTATGTGGAGTTTGCATGTTCTCCCCGTGTCTGCGTGGGTTTTCTCCGTGTGCTCTGCTTTCCTCCCACAGTCCAAAGGTGTGCAGGCCAGGTGGATTGGCCAAACTAAATTGCCCATAGTGTTCAGGGATGTGTAGATTAGGTGGCGTAAAGGGGGATGGGTCTGGATGGGATGCTCCTGAGGGTCGGTGTGGACTTGTTGCGCCGAAGGGCCTGTTTCCACACTGTAGGCATTCTATGATTCTTTGACAGACAGTCCCACTGAGATTGGTGGGTGGTCGGGGGGAGGGGTGTTGGTGGAGGGGAGAGAGGACATGATAACAGAATGTAACAAGCTAAACGAAAGGGAAGAAATAGGTAACAGTGTGGAGCTGGAGGATAACAGCAGGCCAGTCAGTATCAGAGGAGCAGGAAAATTGATGTTTCGGGTCATTTCTGAAGAAGGGTCCCTACTCAACGTCAACTTTCCTGCTCCTCTGATGCTACCTGGCCTGCTGTGTTCCTCCAGCTCCATACTATGTTATCTCTGACTCCAGCATCGGCAGTTCTTACTATCTCTGGGGAAGAAATAGGAATTGGTTCACTATTTGAATGTGTTGAACTCAGTATTAAGTCCAGAAGGCTGTAAAGTGCCTAGTCTGAAAATGAGATGTTGTTCCTCCAATTTGTGCTGTGATTCACTGGAACACTCCAGCATGCCAAGGACGACACTTGGCATGCGAGTAGGCCGCTGTGTTAAAATGACCAGCTATGGGAAGGTTGGGGTTATGGACTCTGCGTTTCGCTTCTCCAATGTAGAGTATCTTGTCGAACACCGTAGTGAAATGGAGAGAAATGAAGACAACTCCAGCAGTATGTCACCACCAAACACATCATCTCCTCACTCCCCGGTCTGCATTTTGCAGGGATCATTCTCTCCAAGACACCCTAGTCCATTCCACAACCACCAACACAACACCCACTCTCCCCACGGCACCTTCCCATGTAACCGCAGAAGGTGCAACACTTAAAAGGGCAGCCCTTTATCTCCTCCCTGCTCACCATCCAAGGGCTTAAACAGTCTTTCCAGGTGAAGCAGCATTTCACTTGTACCTCCTCCAATCTTGTGTATTGTAGTCACTGCACCCAATGTAGCCTACTCTACACTGGAGAAACCAAACACAGACTGGGTGACTGCTTTGTGTGCACACGTGACCCCGACCTTCCCATAGCTGGTCATTTTAACATGGCGTCCTGCTCGCGTGCCCATGTGTCTGTCCTTGGCATGCTGGAGTGTTCCAGTGAATCACAGCACAAACTGGAGGAACAACATCTTACTTTCAGACTAGGCACTTTACAGCCTTCTGGACGTAATATTGAGTTCAACACATTCAAATTGTGAACCAACTCCCATTGCTTTCCTGTTTTTTAAGTTTGTTACATTCTGTTATCATGTGCTGTCTCTTCGCTCCCCATCTCAGTGGGACTGTCTGTCCTTTCAAGTCTAGCAGGAGACACACCGTCGTTCTGCCATTCTCACATTCCGATCACTTGATTTGATCTATCAACATCTTTTCTCCACCAGCACCCTAATCCACCACTCCCACACCCAAGCCATGCCCCCCTCCCCAAGCTATAGCATAAATACTGTCCCCTCCACACTTCACCAGTTCTGATGAAGAGTCATCCGGACTTGAAACGTTAGCTTGCTCTCTCTCCATGGATGCTGTCTGATCTGCTGTGATCTCCAGCATTTTATTTCAGTACTAATTCATAGGTCTCTGTCTCAGTGCCAGGATGCACCAGATAGTACAGAAAATATTGTATTATAATGATACAGAAGATGACCATTCAGCCCACCAAGTCCATACTAGCTCTGAACAGAGCAGTCCACCGCTGTCATCTCTGCTTCCTCATTAGTTGTGGCTTTGAGCATATTCTCACTCATTCTGTAGAAAGATTCTTCTTCACATCTGATCTAGCACTTGTCCCAAATCTTAAGCATGGGGCCCTGGTCCATGTACCATCAGCTAATGGAAAAATCTTTGTCTGCCTTATCCAACCCCATCATAATCTCCTACACTTCTATCAACCCTGTTGTCAACTCTTGGAGAGAAGTCATATGAGACTCAACAAACTGTCTCTGCTTCTTCTCCACAGATGCTGCCAGACCTGCTGAGTTTCTCCAGCAGTGTCTGTTTACACTCCCCTCAACTTCCTTTGCTTCAAAACGAATGTGAAGCAGGAAGGTGCCAAGTTTGGTTTCTAGTCTGTGTTGAGTGACTTTTTTTTGTCTTACAGGAAATTCTGCTGATCGTTGGATTGCAGCTCAAAGCCTGGCTCTCAATGGTGACGACAGCTATCCTGTAGTCAGCAGAATTATCCAGCATCTCTTCGATAAACCAGAACCAGAGATTATGAAGCAAGTCTGTCTGATCCTGGGCCCACTCAGTGAGAGGACAGTACGTGAGCTGGAATATTATGGTGCAGCAAAATTCTACCAACCACTGTACAGCTGCCTTCTGTTTGGAACAGGCTAGCTGGCCTTATTTCCTCTTCTGCACAATTCATGGGCTGTTCAAACCTTCTGAGATAGAGTCAGTGAAAGGAAGGCTTGCCTCACACTCAGGAAATGTTAGGTTTGGAGACATGACAGGATAAAATTTACATGTGTAATGAGTGTTCAGTCTAGAGACAGCAACCAGAGCAGGATTAAATCTGTAAAACTGAAGAGTATTAATTCTGGAGACAGTATCAGGACAGAATATAGACCTGTGACTGAGAGTATTAATTCAAGAAAGTCAATAATAGGAGAAAGGGTAGATTTAACTACTGCATATTAATTCTGGAAGGACAGTACAAGAGACTCACAAGGTATTATTATGAAAGACTATAATAGGAGGGAGGATATACCTGTGGAGAGTATGCATTCCAAACAGATTGGGGAAAAGAGGAAGGGTGAGCACATGACTGAGAGCATTAATCTTGTGTGGTATTGAATTATACAGACGATGAATATCCCAGATTAGTCCACAGTCTGCACTGTGAAAGTTGGATTGAAGGTACAGTGCAGAAACAGGCCAATCAGCCTAGTTGCTTTATGCTAGTGTTAATACTCATGACCGGTCTCCCATTCCTCTTCAGCAATCCCTAATCCTTCGATTGCACTCTCCTTTCATGCTAACCCAGCATCAATGTTGTTTTCCTGAACTACGTCTTGTGATGGCTCTTTACGAATTCTTAACCACTTTCTGGGTAAGGCCTTTTTTTTTCCTGAATTCCGCATTGGATTTGTTAGTGACCATCTTTAATATTTTTGATTTCTACTGTATGGGCTCTCCCACAAGGAGAATCTTTTTCTTCTCATCCTTCCCTTTCATTGTCTTAGGATGTGACTTCTTTACTCCTCCTACCAAAATACATCGCCTCACACTTAATCTATATTGAAATTCGTTTGTCAGTTCATGCCTATTTTGTATGTGTATTAATATTGAATGTTAATTAGAACCCCCAGTCTGGTGTCATCCACTAATTTCAAGATGGCTGGCTTTGTGGTTCCAGGAGGAGCTCTTCAGTCTGTGGAAAAGATGATTAAAATGAATTATTGCATGAGCTTCCCTGTGGTGGATAGCAGGGATACCCTTCTGTGGTTATCACATTTGGTTAAGTCTCCATTCTTGAAGATAGTCATAATTACAGCATCTTTGAGATCCCCTGGCATGCTCTTGAGAGAGATGGGTCATGTATACAAGCCAAAAGAACTTCTCTGCAGTATCTCAGTATTTGGGTAGGGATCTGTCTACATCATTGGTCTTATTGATTCTTAGATATCAGATTCTTAGCTTTTCAACCGTATGTCAGACTTGGGTTGTGCTGAGGTGTTCAAGGGCAGCATACTGAGGGATGAGTCTGAGGGCAGCCTCAGAGGACTGAGTGTTCAAAGTGCCCCTTCCAACAAGTGCCTGCCTGTTTTGATTGAATGCCATTATATTCTTAGCTGTTAGTGGGATAGGTCCTTGGGTAGGTAGACCATGGATGGTCTTGACTGTGTTGAAGAATCCACACACATCCTGGTTGTTGGCAAATTGCTTTATTTCCTGGTGCTTTCCATCCACCGTGTGTTCTTTAGGTCAGTTTGTTTCTCTCATTGAACCTTGGCTTTCTTTTGTCTTACGGACCTGCTTTCTTTCCCTCGAGTTTTGGTGGTGTTTCCATTACTGGAACACCTTGTATTTGTGAGTTGGTCATGCCTGGCCCTCCTGGTCGTTCTTGTCAAGCCTTGTCTTGATGTTTCCTGTGGGTAACTGTTATGGAGTTAAGGGCAATCCAGACACTTTAAACATTCTGTGGTTCCTCATCATTGAGTCATTGAATGTCTCCAGTTTGGCTGTGAGGCACTGACTAGGTAGGTCTTTCTCTAGAGGCTGTGAATCCATTGAGATTGATTTACCTGAGGCAGTGTTTCTGAAGTCACTGCTTATTATTGGGCTGGACTAATGGAAATAGTAGACCAGATTAGGAGGTGGTCCAGCAGTTGGTCAGCTCCTGTCATAGCACAGATGGTGTGTTTATCCTGGTGCTGCCTCAATCTGATGATGACCCGATAAAGCAGGTACCAATGTCTAGAGCGAGGCTGTTGCTGAGGTCTTGTATTTGTCCCTCTGATGAAATCAGGTATTTGATATGACCAGACTTTGCTCTAGGCATTTCGTCAGGAGGAGGACTCCATTGTGTTTACCTTCTCTTTGTCTTCCTCATCAATCATACCTTCCCAGTGGTTTGTGTCTCTCCCAGTTCTGCCGTTAAAATCACTGGAGAATTAGCTCATATTCCTTTGAGACACGACAGTGGCTGATCAAAGTTTGAGTTGAAATCTCTTTCACCTCATCCATTGCTTCTAGGTTTGGGTGTACACATGACAACTATGGTGGACTATTTCTGAGTTAGGGTGAGCTGAAGGGTCCTGAGGTATTTGTTTATCTTATAGGCTGTGACGGGTGGAAGGGGCTCTCTGAAATGGTCAGCTTGTTTTTTTATGGTGAGACCAATCCCATGGTGTCTTCCTCAGATTTACTCTTCTGGTAAAAGGTATAACTGCTACCTTGTTCTTTGAGCTGAACATTCTCCTATCCACTATCTCTCACTCAGGAGGTGCCAGTGACATGATGTCAGAGTTTCTGACCTATGATCGCAGTGTGAGGCTCAGGTTGTCCATGAGGATTCTGATGTTCCACTTCCTAAACCTCATTTAGAGAGGGTGGGAGATGCCTATGCATGGGATCTTTTAGCACAAGATGTTTGTATCATATCATCCTGCAGAACAAGGTCTTTGTCCAGATGCAGGGATAGCTGGGGTTGAACTATACGAACAGGCACTAATGCTTAGAGGTTGTAGCTCCAGCCTGCCCCCCACCCGGCTTCTTTAGAGAGGCCTTCTTGATGCAATGAAGGTGCTATATAGGCTTCACAAATGGCTAGTTGGATCCTACCCCTGTGCTAATGCCATTTTTTGTTTTTACTATCATGTTTCAAGCTCTGGGCTCCCTCCCCTACCCCGGGTTGTGTCTGACTCTCTCCTCACTGCTCCTGACTCTGAAACTACTCTTCAGGTCAATCGCAAGTTTCCTGTCTGCCACCTTGCTGCTTCACTGACCATAGGTTCCGTCTCTCAAGGAGGAGCAAGAACAGGAGGGAGTGAACCTGTGCCCAGAGGACCAGACCAGCTAGCACAGGAGAGAACAAATCTGTGGTTGGAAAAGCAGTTTCTCATAGATTCTGCCTTTCCCAGGCTTACTCTTCCACCAATCAAACTCTGCGTTGTTTTCCTGCTCTCCCTGAAATACTCTTGATTGTTCAGTCATAATGTTAGCTTGTGTGTTTGAAATGTCCTTTGAAATCTTCGCCACCGTCTTTGCTACATTTTTGCAGGCCATTTGTAAGGTTCCAGACCCCTTATATTTTGAACCTTGCTTGAGGGACTCCCAAAGGTGATAAATGATAGGTTAGATACAGAGTAAAGCTTTCTCTACACTGTCCCCTACAAACATTCCCAAAACACTCCCAGGACAGGCACAGCAAAGGTTAGATACAGAGTGAAGCTCCCTCAAGACTCTTCAACAAACATTCCCAGGGCAGTATAACACAGGTTTAGGTACAATGTAAAACTCTGTCCCCATCAATCACACCCAGGACAGGTACAGTATGGGGTTAGATACACTATCCCCCAAACACATTGTTCATCAAGGTCTAGTATATATCCTGTTGGTATTTGGTAACCTCTCTGTTTAACCAGACTCTGGCACATTTCATACTGGCGAAGCATCTGAACAGCCGCAATTGGCAAGAGAAGGTGCTAGCATGCAACGTCTTCTCCTGTCTGCGTGGTTCACTTAACAAGGTAGGCCTGAGTTCAATATGTCACGTTAATTGCATATTCTGGCCTTCTGTTGGGACATGCTTCAGTTATACAGGGCATCGTTGAGACGACATCTAGAGTGCTGCACACAGTACTGGTCACTGTATCTACGGAAGAATATTAATGTGTTAGAAGCAGTTCAGAGAAGGTTTACTGGATTAATATCTGGAATGAGTGGATTGCATCATGAGGAAAGTCTAGACAGTAACATATAAGAGCCTGAGGGGACTTGACCAGGTGGATGTGGAAAGGATGTTTCTTCTTGTGGGAGAATCTAGAACTGGTGTCATAGTTTAAAAATGAGATGTTACTCATTTAAAACAATTGAAACATTTTCTCTTGGTGATTTTTCTTTAGAATTTCCTTCCTCAAAAGGCAGTGGATGCAGAATTCCTAAATATTTTTAAGGCAGAGGTACATAGATTCTTGATGACTAAGGGGATGAAATATCCAGGGATGTACAGGAATGTAGAGTTGAAGTTAAAATCAGAACAGCCATGATCTTATTGAATGTCAAAACAAGCTTGAAGGGCTGAGTGGCCTACTCTTGTTCCTTGTTCAGATGTGGAATAAAATGCTCTGTCACCTTTTTGATGACCCAGGATTTAACGCGCAAGATTGTGCACTTGATGTGGAATGACTGGAACAGCAATGTCCGACAGGCAGCAACACACTCATTGGGAGCCTTGGGACTGGGGAAGGAAGCCCATGATAAGCTCAGGTGAGACAGAATAATGGAGAAGCCTGTAGCTGTGAAGCAGTTCCTTGACCATTTCAATAGGCAAAGGGCCTATCTACATAGCCTGTCCAAAATGCTGTGACTTTGACCTACGTCTCCTGTGTCGTAGCTCCACTCCTCAGTGAGTCTTGAGTCTCCATCAGCGCCCAAGTGTCTGAACTGGTATGTCACAAGCTTGGGCCTGCTGTAGATTCCTTTTTGGGTTGGTGGCACAAGTTGTTTTAATCATTGATTTTACATCACACACAGTTTGGAGGGACTCATGTTGCCTGATACTCGTGTAACCCCAGAAAACATAACCGTGTCTGTCCTTGGAATTGGATGGTATTGTTTGACTTCTCCTTTGAATTGCTACCTTCCAGAGGGCAGAATTCAGGTAGTAAACAAAGTAAGATTTGTTTTTAAACTGCGCCATTGTTCTCCTTTAAAAAGACCACTGGATCTTTAAGACTTACCAGATAGACATCCTCTAAATGTAGCAGAGGCTAAGGGGTGTTGCTAACCTGTCCATCCTTTCCTCTATTTCTACATAAAACCCCATCCCAGATACTTCCCATTACCTTAACAGTGAAGGGAGGAGCTGTTGTAAACTGTCCGTGAGGCAGATACCCCACTGAGGAGGTCAGATTAAATGCTTTTGCTTACATTACCTAACATGTTTCCTGACTTCAGGACATTGTGAAGATGTTAATAAGTGTGTTAATAAGTTAATAAATATGGTTATTGCTGTAATATAGTACACAGCAAGTTATAACAAACATTGATGTGTAAATGATCAGATAATCTCTTCCTCATGAAGTTGATTGGGGGCTAAATATTGGTTAGATCTCTATAGAGAATGGCCCTGCTTTTATTTCTTAAACAGGACCATGGAGCTCTCGTATCTACCCAAGAGGCCAGGCAGATTTAACACCTCATTTGATAAACAGCATCTCTCAAGGTGCAGTGCTCCCTCAGTGTTGCAGTGAGTGCATTAGACCGAGCCCAGTCACTGAATTAGACTTGAAGCAATGTGCTTCTGATTTCAGAGTCAGTTGTTTGCAAGCTGAGTCTGGACTTTCACTGCTGCAAAGATGCCATCTATGGCTGTTACTTACTTCCACGTCTCTGTGTCAGAAGGTTGTGATTCAAGCCCAACTCTAGATACTTAAGTGTGCAGTCCAGCCTGATGTTTCAGTGCCAGTTTGAATGACATTCCATCTACTACTTCAACAGTACTTCCTTCACTGATGCACATATATTATCCATATGATACAGTGCAATAACTCGCTAAGGTTTCTTTAACAATACTTTCCAAACCTGTGACTGCTACCATCTAGAAGGGCAGCATGTAAACGGGAACACCAGCACATGAAGGTTCCCCAAAAGCTACTCACCATCCTGACTTGGAAATATATCACCATTCATTCACTGTCACTGGATCAAAATCCTGGAAATCCCTTCTTTACACCAAGGTGTCCTGTGATTCAAGATGATAGCTCACCACCATCTTCTCTCAGGCAAATAGGGGTAGGCTTGGATAAAAGCTAGGGATATGTTACAGTTGGGAAGAGCGCATCAGCGATCGAGACTCACTATTTCACAAGCCATCCCAAATATGTAATTTGCCTGACTGACTGCCTATCAGGAGAATGTAACTCACACCAGGTTTCATCATTAACAGGAAAGTAACTATTATAAATAAACTTATTCCTAACAAATGGCAAATAAAAATGGATTATTAATCAATAACTGTGTAACTTAAGCTTTACACATTTAAAATCTCAAATACATTAATTCACAAATAAAACAAACAAAGACAGAAAGTTTGACACAAATATTGTGGGTGGTAAATGTAGACAGGTGAAAACAAATCCTGTATTTGGGTCCAGACCACAAGGATGAATTTGTTGTTTCTCGGATCTTTTGAGTTTTTTTTAAAGTAATGGTGACGCAATATTGCCTGCAGAATGATGGTTGTACTTCAATTCAGTAGCTGATTGGGTGGGCCTAGGTCTTTTCTTGAATTTGAATTCTTTCTTTTCAAAGTTTTCAACTTTTGCCCCTTCACTCACCAAGAGAAATGGTGAGGAATGCTTCTTATTTGCAAGCTTTTAGATATCTGAGTGCACTGCACAGATCTGTAACAGACTACGGCTGCACCAATCCAAAGGCTATCATGAGGTAATCCGTTGATTCAAAAACTTCTGGTGCCATTCTGTCTCAAAATAGCCATCTAACTCTGTCAAAAAGTAACTTAATCTTGTGCAGCTAAAGTGTACACAATATAAACCCACTTGATCTTCAGAACTGTCCTGGTATTTTTTAGCTCCAAAGCAATCTATCTAACCCATTCTCGAATAGGTTCAATGACTCAGCCTCCATTTCAATAAGATCATCCTTTTGTTCTTGTACGTCCCCATAGGTATAGGACCAACCTGTTTGGTTTTTCTTCAGAGATAAGCCTTTAATCCCAGGAACGAGTCTCGTGAACCATCTTTGAACTGCTTCTAGCATAGTTATATCCTTTTCCACATTAAAAAAACAAACGTACACTGTATACTAGATGTGGTCTCACCAAGGCCCCGGGCTGCAGTGGTAAAACGTCCCTAGTTTTGTGTTCCATTCTTGAATTAAACACCAACATTTCCCTTTTCTTTTCTAATCACTTGCTGTAACATACTAACTTTGTGATGTATTTGTACTCTGCGATCCCCTTATTCCTTTAAACCACCGGGACTTGCACCGTCCCATAACTGACCTCCATATTTTTCCTGCTAAAATGTATTACCTTACAATTATCTGTGTTGAATTTTATTTGCCAGTTGTTTGCTTATTTTGTAGGTTTATTAACGTCCTCTTGTGATCTATAGAGTTGTAGAGTCATACAGCATGGAAACAGACTCTTCGACCCAACTCATCCACACCGAGCAGACATACCAATCTGACCTAGTCCCATTGCCAACATTTGGTCCATATCTGTCTAAACCCTTTCTGTTCATATACCCATCCTTTTAAATGTTGTAAATGTATCTGCCTCCACCAGCTTGTTCCATACATGCACCACCCTCTGCTTGAATACGTTTTGTGGTAGTCCTTCTCAATATTGACTATCCTCCAATTTAGTGACATCCACAAATTTTAAAATTCCAGAGTCTCAATTATTTCTGTATATTGTGACCAGCAGTAAATCCAGTAGAGAGCCATATGAAATATAATTCCCACCTTCAGCCCCTCTAACTAACTATTCTTTACTCCCACTCTCTGCTTTCTGTCTTGAACACCACTCGAATGTAGAAGAGAATTTCCACTGGAGAAGTGAATTTCAAACACTACTTACACTAAGAGGAGAAATTCCTCCTCATCTCCACCTTAAAGGTAGACCTTATTTTAAAATTGCTCCCTGTTGTTCTAGACTTCCTTGTAAGCGGAAACATCCTCTCAAAACTACTGTGTTAAGCCTGTTCCGGATCTTTTATATTCCACCAGGATCACTAACTATGGGGCACCCTATTGAAGGCCTTTTGAAAATCCAGAAAAATTACATCCACTGCATCGTCTAATCTCTATGAATTTTCTAAGGAGGAAACAATAACATGGTCAAGCAGAATGTTTTCTTTTGAAATCCATGATTGCTCTTCATTGTTCCTCATTTGTAGATGTTCTTCTATTGTCCTGTTTAGCTAGTCAAAGGCAGGGAGATTTCCATCAGCTCTGGGGAATGATACCAGTGGCGTCCCTCAGGCATCTATTTTATTTATCTGTTTTGGGTAATATCTTTATCTGAGTTTGGAGCTAGTGTTGATGAACGCAATAGCTAGAGATGTAGGTAATACAAAGCTTTTGAAAGCAGGAGCCTCTTAAATATGAACAAAATTGGCTAGTAGGTGATTTAAGTGCCCTTAGAAATGAATAGGCACAACATTTTAATGGTCAGTCTATGCTGACAATGGAAATGGTTACTATTAATTAATTTAATTGTAAATTAGACCACTTTCAGAAAGTTATATCTTGGTTATCAGTAATAGGAAACATGACATTGAAAGAGACCTTCTAACCTTTGTTTCTCAAAGGTATCTCTCTCTGGGGTTTCCTTAGCTCATGTCTGGGTTCATTCTAATCTTTAAGAGACATTGATGACAAAGGATAATCAATAACCATGTTGTCATTTGCATCATGCACCTATCAGCCTGATAGAAGGAAGATTTGATCCGCATTGCTCTGTTTTAATCTTGCAATTCCTAACTTGCTTATTCTCGTGCAGTTTGATTTTGACTAATACGGGCTGATTGTATTGTTTTGCTAAATAATAGAACATTTTTAAAGGCATAGTATGAAAGATATGGACCTGTCAGTGTATGAGGGGTGGAAGAGTGGACCGTGGGTGTGCGAGGGGTATTTGTACTGTATTAAATTGTTTTGCAGGGAGAGATTGGAGAAGGGGGATTGCAGGGGCCGAATCGAGGCCTTGTCATGTATTGGTCAGCTCGGAGTGATGACTGGAAAACTGATGCCAGGCTTCCTCGCCTGCTTCACTGATGATTCTGTTGGTGTGAGGCGAGAGGCGTGCCTGACAGCTGGTTTGCTGAAGATAAAAGATGACCAGGTAGGAACAGTACTCAATTACTCTACGATCTGCCTTCATAAAGCAAGTATCTTTAACAGTGATCGGAGCAGGATTCCCAGTTGATTATGCTGCCTGCCCAGTCATCAAGACACACATTGAAACAGAAAGCAGGTCTGACTGCGCATAGTTAAAAATGGAACAGTTCAAAAACAGAAATCGCCGGAGAAACTCAGCAGGTCTGGCAGCTGCTGACTGAGCCATGGTCACTCACCACCTGACTAATTGAAATCCTCAATAACTCCTAAAAGCAGACCCACGTGGGTGACTGCTAGAGACTATAGCTCACGTCAACAATGACAAACAGCCAGGCAGCTATTGCTTTGCCCACTAGCAGAAGGAATAGTCAACAGATCCATGTTTCACAATCAGTGACGGCAAAGGCCTTTGATTCCCAGATGATCCATAGAAACATTACCCATTTAAATTTGGTCAGCTGCACAAAGTGGGGGTGGTCAGAGGTATCCCAGGTGGCTACAAGAAAGCATCTGTGATACTTAGATCCCAGGAGAATAAAGATTACTGACAGAGTTTAATGCCACACTCACTGACCTCATTTTCACTGGAGCTCATATCCCACCCCATAGCCAAGACTCCAACCCTCAGAAGCCTACTTAAACCTCTTTGCTAAGATCCACAAACAAGACTGCCCCTGGTAGAACCAATATTTCAGACTATCCCTGAGCACTGAACTGATTTCTTCCCATTTTGATTCTATTTTTTTCTCCTTTTGTCCCGTCTGTTCCCACGCAAAACTCTTACAATGCTGTCTGCCTCTTTTAATAGTTTCCTGTTTCCAGGCCTTAACCAACTCCTCTTCATTATGGATATCCAGTCTCCTTACACCTCCATCAGGGTGGTCTCTAAGCCGCTGCTTTTTGTCATTTATATAAATGCTTTGGTGTGAACATAGGAGGTATGGTTAGTAAGTTTGCAAATTGGATATGTAGTAGACAGCAAAGAAGGTTACCTCAGAGTACAACAGGATCTAATCAATGGGTCAATGGACTGAGGAATGGTAGATGGAGTTTAATTTAGATAAATGTGAGGTGCTACACTTTGGAAAGGCAAACCAGGGCAGGACTTATACATTTAAGCGTAAGGTCCTGGGAAGTGTTGCTGAACAAAGAGACCTTGGATTGCTTGATAGTTCCTTGAAAGTGGAGTCACAGGTAGATAGGATAATGAAGACGGCGTTTGGTATGCTTTCCTTTATTGGTCAGAACGTTGAGTATAGGAGTTGGGAGGTCATGTTGCGGCTGTACAGGATATTAGGGGGGGATATTTTGGAGTATTGTGAGGATGTTGCCAGGGTTGGAGGGTTTGAGTAACAGGGAGAGGCTGAATAGGCTGAGGCTATTTTCCCTGGAGTATCGGAAGCAGACGTTTATAAAATCATGAGGGGCATGGATATGGTAAATAGGCAGGGTCTTTTCCCTGGGGTGGAGGAGTCCTAAACTAAAGAGCATAGATTTAAGTTGAGAGGGAAAAGATTTAAAAGGGACCAAAGGGGCAACTTTTTCACTCAGAGGGTGATGTGTATATGGAATGAGCTGCCAGAGGAGGTGGTGGAGGCTGGTACAATTAGAACATTTAAAAGGAATCTAGATGGATATATGAATAGGAAGGGTTTAGAGGGATATAGGCCAAATGCTGACAAATAGGACTAAATTTGTATAGGATATCTGGTCGGCATAGACGAGTTGGACCAGAGCATCTGTTTCCTTGCCTGTTTATCTCTATGCCTGTATGACTGTCCACTTCTTCCACAAATGGAGGCCCATTCTACCACCACCCTCCTCCAACTTGTTCACATCTTGAACAATCTCTCCTTCAACTCCATTCATTTCCTTCAAACAGAAGGGCATTGCTACATGGCCCTTGTTACGCTGCGTTTCTGAAATATGTGGGGCATGCATTTTGTCAGTCTTACCTAGGTTCAATTTCCAGTACATTGGCAATGTCATTGGTGCAATTTCCATGAACTAGAAAGCTTCTTTAACATTGTTTCCAATTTCTGCCCTCTCACTTTCACTCAGTCCATCTCTCATTTCGTCACTTGTCTCATTACATCTTCCTTTGATCCTCCAACATCAAGCCTTTCCCTATTTAATTTCTCCCATCTTCCTCCCTATCACAGACCTTCTTTCCTTTTGCTCCTTCACAGACTTGAACCTTTAACTTCAAATTTGTTATAGTTCTAACTTTTCCTAGTTCTGATGTTTTTCCTGGCCTAGAACCAAAACACATGGCCCCCAAATGAAAGAGAGGCTATTTAGGACTGAAGGAATTACTTCACCCAGAGGCTGGTGAATCTTTTGAATCCTGTACTCTAGAAGGCTGTGTCAGTGATTAATTATGTTCAAGACAGAGATTTGATAGGTTTCTGCCTGTTAAAGATTTCAAAAGGTATGGGGATTGTGTGGAAATATACTATTGAGGTAGGAGATCAGCCATGATCTAATTGAGCAGTGGAGCAGGCTCGAGGGCCAAATGGCCTACTCCCATTAGCTATTTCCTAAGTTTTTCAATGACAGAATTGTTAACTTCATGCAGCACAGATGTATCTGACCTGCCAGATGTTCCAGCATTTATTATGGCAGGGTTCAATTTCACTCATGATCCAGATGCAACAACAGCACTCATGCATTCTCTATACAAAGGCAGCTTCGTGCAATAGGGAGATTACACTGGGGGGAAAACAACCCTGGAATTCTCACCATTCCAGCGAGAAACACCAAAACTGACTTTATTGCTTGGTGCTGTCTGACTGCCTTGACATGAGCCACTAAAAGGTTAGTGCAGATATCACCATCACCTGCCTCCAAAATTCCCAAAGCCAGTGATGTGCACCAAAAACAAACGGAGAGTGAATGGGGGACTTCAGGGCCTTTCTCAGCTAAAAGCTAAATTTGAAACATTACGTTAAAATGACACAAATCCAGTGAAGTTTCAGTTATAGAATCATAGAGTCAAACAGCACGAAAACAGACCCTTTGGTCCAACTAGTCCATGCCGACCATATTCCCAAACTAAACCAGTCCCATTTGTCTGTGTTTGGCCCATATCCCTCCAAACATTTACTATTCATGTACTTGTCCAAATATCTTTTAAACTTTGTAACTGTAATCCAGTACTACTTCTGGAAGTTCATTCCACACGCAAACCACTCTCTGTGTAAAAATAATTTGCTCCTCATTTTTTTTAAAAACCTTTCTCCATTCACTTGAAAAGTATGCCTCCTAGTCTTGAAATCCCACCAGTGCAGGCACAACCTCTGGTTAGTGAAGACTTCAGCACAAGTTCAGAACAACGTCCAGTTCATGCAGAGACACCAGGTGACTGTAAAAGTACAAACAAAGGAGTTTGTACAGGAGCCCTGGAGTGCATGTGGTTGTGAAGAGGGACTGAGGAGAAGCGGCTGGGGAGACAGAGAAGGACGTGGGGAAAATAAGGTCTTGAAAATAGGCAGGCCACAGAACAGGCTGACAACATTAAACTGAAACTCACCACGTTAAACAGATACACTGTCACGATTTCAATAGCGACTTTAACGTGAAACAGCGGTAAATGAGTCCATTTTAAACAGGGACTTGATGTGTAAGTTTTTCCTGTGGATCAAGTAGAAATTGCCGGTGACATCACCCAGTTCTTTTGTAGCAATAGAGTTAAAAGAAGTTTTTAGAACTCATTCAGTGGAGCCATTTAATGGTCAGAGGCTGCACTACTTTTCTACAGTGGACATAATAGTGGCCACTTAGAATGGGAACTGATGACAGAAAAGTCATCAGAAAAACAGACCACATGAGGTTGTATGGAGAAGCAAATCCACGCCCTGTGAAATTTGTACTATATGAGTATCTTTAAAGTTGAATGTTTTGGTTTGCTGACTCACAAGTCCAGTTTTAACTGAAATAAAGAACTGTGGATGCTGGAGATCTGAAACACACTCACGCAGCAATTGCTGGAGAAAACCAGCAGGCCTGGCATAATCTGCTTTCAGTCTACGCTCCTCCACATAACCCATGGCCCTCGATAGCCCCTGTGCGACTAGTGCGACTCGTCCAGTCCATGCTCCACTTTCCTTTGCCCTTGCACCCTTCATACCAGCTCCCCCAGTATCCACCATGGGCAGACCTCCGGTTCTGTGCTGAGATTGAATATAGCTCTTATGTGTACATTGATAAATTCAGTATTTTAGAAAAAAAACAGTCTCATTGATAAATCTCATTCACTACATATAATTTCCTTCGAATACTTAAACCCCAATTAAAAAAAGACTTAATAAACAGTTAGAACTGTCATCTAAACTGCGAACTGACAAGTACTACACATTGATATTATTATGTGAAATCAGTCAGCAAAGATTCTATAATATCAATCCTCAGACTTGTATCAATATAGAATAAATGGTATACATTAATTTTTTTAACACTGCAGACATTTCCTACAAATATTTAAAGAGCAGGTGATTTAAATGCCTTGACAGCTTGCTTGACAGTTCCAGTGAGCTTGTTAACGTCAGTGATTTTATTTATAATTAATGCACAATCATGTGTCCTTTGCTCTTGGTAAAGGTAGACCTTAGCGCTCCCAAAGGGCTGCCTGACACTTTTACAAAGGTGCCCCGGACCACAACCAGATGGGTACCACACCTCTCCAAAAGGGTACTGTTCCTCTCCAAAGAACTGCAGTTAGTTTAGACCACCTTTTACCAGGTCTAAAATGCACGAGACGCAGTTTGGACATCCCATGAATGAAAATAAGATTTGCCCTCAATGTGTGCAGCTTCCCCTGTGCACCTACAGATCAGAACTGCATGCTGCAGGGTGACAATGACAAGGGCCAAACTTTCAGATTCATGCCTCTAGTACCAGTCTCGCTAAGACAGTCAGCTTCTCCATCTGTACAAAAGATTCAGCCCAGTGAGGAGGTGGTCCTGTCTTTCCACTGGCAGTTTTTTCAATGAAATAGGCAGATGCATTACGGATCAAATTGAATGCTGAGTAATGTGAACTGATGCATTTTGAAAGGAAAAGAAAGAGGAAAGGAATATTAGTAGAATGAAAAGATACAATTTTAAAGGGGAATGTAAGAACAGAAATCTGGGATGTAGGTACAAAAATCAGTGAAGGCAGCAGAACACATTGAGAAGATTGCTTTAAAAAAAAAACAAAATCATATTGCATCCTTGGCTTCACGCGTAGAGAAATAGAATCCAAAATGAAAGATGTTGTGCTTAATACTGGTTCAGCCTCAACAGGAACATTGTTTTCAATTGTGGGCACCACACTTTAAGAAGGATGTCAAGGCCTTGGAGTGGGTGCAGAGAAATTTTATTAGAATTGTACCAGCAATGAGGGCATCAATCATATCGAGAGATTGATGAGGTTGGAGTGGTTCTGCTTAGAACAGAGCAGTTTAAGGAGGGACCTAGTGAAGGTATTCAAAATTATATGAAGTATTGATGGCACAGATGAAGAGAAGCTGTTTCCACTGACAGAAAGATCAGATTTAAGAGACTCTGCTAAAAATCCAGAGGAGGTAAGCCAGGGAATTTATCATTTTTACACAATCTTGAATGTACTGCCTAAAAGGATGAGTGAAGAAAATTTAGCAATAACTTTGAAAAGGAAATTGGATGTATAGCTGAAATTGGGGAAAAAAAAACACTTACCTCCCACACCCCAACTCTTCCCCCACAGTCAGGTACCTGGTAGTGCTATTGGAGAGCTCTTTCACAGAGCCAGTATTGGGATGATGGGCTGCATGGCCTCCTTCTGTGCGGCTTAACCCTTTGCAAATAATTTTCCAGTGTTGCTTCTGGATTTTGCCACCACAGGAGCCGTGTTCACCTCGGGCCATGTGGAGTGCTGAATGAGTCACTTATTATCAGGCTGAATATCCAGTAATTAATAGGCCTGGTATCTGTTTATATTTAGTGCTGATATTGAATAATTAATGGATCAGAATGTAGCATCAAATACACAGCAGACAGCATCCAATCTCTCCTATCTATTCCACACCTGAACCTTATTTGTGTCTGAGATGAGCTTGCATTCCTTATGCTTTTTGTAAGCAAGCAGCTCATCACCTTCTCAAAGGGGAATTAGGGATGAATAATAAATAATGGCCTAGCCAGTAACACCGATATTCAGTGAATGAATAAAAACGTGAAGTTAATTTGTTGCTTGGTCCCGAATTGAGTTAAATTACCAAAAGACTCTTCTGCCTATGCTAACGCACCCGATCTCACATGGGGTTGGTGACAGGTATACTATATTAGTCAACTGTTGTGTCCTGGACTGAGCATGAGTAAAAAAACCAGTAATCAGATCCTGATTACTTTCAGATGGTAGGGATCAGTAACGAAGACTCATTCTGATGTCTGGGCTCTGACTGTCGTCTAGTGATTCCAGTCAGAACATCGAAGGGAGTGTTCCTTTGTTATAAAGTGGAGGTTGCCCCCCTCTGATAACTGAAACCAAAACACCCAGAGAGGCATGCCTCGCCCTATAATCTGTTAAAATGAGTGCGAGAAGGGGTGTAATCTGTTTTTTCAGCAACTTCTAGTGGTTAAGTAAAATAAACCCCGACACTTACTTTACAATCAACAAGTAACAATTTATTTATCTTTCTGTAACAGTGAACAAATTAGCTAAATAATTAACAAACCAAATAAACCCTTTCTAACTACTAACTGTTCCTGAATAAAACAAGATTCTAATGATATGCTGTTCCAATAAATACAAATAAAACAAAAATAATAAAAAATAGAATTTAGTCTCTCGAAATTACAGCCAGGTTACATGTCTTCCGGAATGTTCTGCGCCTTGTCCGTCAAATGTTCTTTCAGGAACATTAACTAGTTGTGCTGTAAGTACCTTTGATTTAGCTGGTGCTTTCTCTAAAACTTAGGGAAGACTGTGAGAGCTAGCAATTCTCTCTTGAGAGCTGTTAACTCTTGCAGATGGCAGTCTCCTGTCTTTGCCCAACTGTCCCTTCTTTTATCCCCTTGATGACATATCAATATTCCTTACAATAAGATTGGTCCTATGTTGTCAAAACCATCATATTTAAATTTAATTGGTTTTTGGTATCTAAGTGCCTGGTTCAAATTAATTGCCTAAATTCAAAACTTGTCTTGATAAAAATAAAACTGCTGCTTGGCCTGCTGACTGTACAGCCTTTTGATATAAATTTTTCAATTCAGGTGCTCTCTGTGCACCTGCAAACCCATAAGCTGCTGCCCACCGACATCCTTTTTGAATCTCTAAGCATAGAAAAAGCACATTATCTTTTAAAGGGACCACACACTGCTTTTCCCCCCTAGCATTTTACAAACACCAACATTTTACAAACGCCAAGTTCTAACATTCTGCCTTCCAATCCACAAATACTGTACCCAACTTCGCAACACCTTCCATTTGGACGAGTTTGTCAATGTCCACTGTTTTGCATCAAGGGCCAGCTCCTTGCGTTAGGGGCAGAGAAAACCTCAAGTACATTGAGCAATTCTTTGTATCATCAGGTCCTTCAACATCTGGTGCGACTGATGCAGTCTGATCACATCTGGAAAATCAAGGCATATGCAATCAAGGGTAGGTGTCTCTGCTTCGCCTTTACTTATTGGTAATTACATGTGCCAAGTTAGTTTTATTGTTCAATTCAATACTTGGTCCCCAAGTCCGTCAAATGGAATATCTGTTTGCAGATATTCAAACCCTCCAATGGGTTTGTAATTCCCAGGGGTGATCCTCCAACGGGTTTGTAATTCCC